AATATAGATGTAAAATCGATTTTTTTTTTGAAAATAGCCTACTATGATGAAAACCAAAAATGTTTTAAATTGCATTTTAAATCATAAATAGGCACTATAAATGATAAAGAATGCATATATAAATATAAAATCGATATTATTTTTGAAAATAGCCTACTATGATAAAAACCAAAAATGCTTTAAATTGCATTTTAAAACATAAATAGGCATTATAAATGATAAAGAATGCAAATATAGATAAAAAATCGATATTTTTTTGAAAATAGCCTACTATGATGAAAATCAAAATGCTTTAAATTGCTTTTTAAATCATAAATAGGCATTATAAATGATAAAGAATGCAAATATAGATGTAAAATCGATTTTTTTTTGAAAATAGCCTACTACGATGAAAACCAAAAATGCTTTAAGTTGCATTTTGAAACATAAATAGGCATTATAAATGATAAAGAATTATGATAAAGAATGAATTTCGCATTTATACCAAATTTAAGCTTTCCAAATATGCACCATTAATGAATGTGTCCACGTTTTAAGATGTAGAACTATGCAATATGGTCAAAGTGAATAAATTTGCAATTCATGTATGGCCATGACTGATGAAACTTTCAAATCAATCTCAATTTTTCAAACCAATATCCTTTGAACCAAATAAAAAAGTTATTTTCTACTTTTTAGTCCACGGGTAAAAACGTGGTTTTTTTAAAAAAAAATTTTTATGAAGTTTTTATTTTAAAAAAAATGTTTATTTTTGTTTTGTTTACCTAGGTACGTTGAGTTTTAATTTAAAAAATTCGTTATTTGAGTACTGAAAATTCTGCAAAGATCTTTGAAAGCAAAGGTAAAAAAAAACGTTTGTTTTTCTCTCTAATCCTTCTTTATTTACTACATTCTTACATACAATTCTATTTCCATTATTTTTGTGATTTTAAATATTAATTTAAATGAGGAATCCAATTCTTAGTCCAGATTCGTCATAATTTTATTAAAATGTTTAAAAGCATTGAATTATATGCTTTAAAAAGCAACAAAGTACATTTTTTTGTGTATTATTGCATGGAGGAAAAAGGTCAAGTGTTTCAAAGGAAATTTCATTTTTAAAAAAACTTTAGTTTTGTATGAAAAAATAGCTTTGTGACTTTATGTCTCTAATTATAGATTTTAAGGATTTCATTTTGAAAAAGTAAAAAAATATCAATTAAAGTTAAAAATCATCTCAAAATAAATATTCGTTGGCAAAAAAATTAAATTCAAGATTAATAATAGTTAAAGACGATATTTCGACGATCATATCGCTTTGTTTAAACGCGGATTTCGCGGATTTCATTTCATTTTACGTCCACCGGTGGACATTTAAGGTACTACGTACGATTCAGTTATCTACGACATAAACTTTTAAAGCTTAAAATCAATTTGTTTTTACTTTTCTTTAAAATTAAAATTTTACTTAACATAACTAGTTGCGATACGAGCATTTCCCCGAGCATAGAGCAAAAGGAAACTTAAACGCGACGACCCGAACACGATAAATATTTATTATTTTGGGGAAAAATGTACTTAAATAAATGAAAATTGACTATAGTTCACAATTAAATATCACCACTTTTTATCATTTCTTTCTTGTTTTTTTGAGCACGAAACGCGAGTTACCGATTATCAATTAGTTCCTTTTAAGTATAGTTATTTTTAAATTATAAGATCATTTTCAGTTATCACACGACAACGGCGGAAATTTGTTTCAATTTTATTCATTATTTATTGTATTATTATCGATTCCGTATTATATCCTCGTTTTTATTATATGCTTTGATATTATCCGTAGTTTATTATTACTTTAGCACGATTGTATGTTTGTATTATTCAGGATTTTACAAGGACAAACTTTTGAGCTCTCTCCAGTCGTGATTTATTAATATATTGGATAAAAATCGAATTGGATGTAGCTAGCTTGGATGTTATTGAGTTTTGTAGAGTTGAATTATACTATTTTATGAATCTGAGGTATCTAGCTTTAAGCAGAATAACCAGTACGTTTTATATTGGTTTATCAATGATGAGTTCAAAAATGCTAGGCTAGGCGAATCTATCAGTTCAAGATTGGGTAAGATATAAACCTAGTAACTTAAACAGCCTTAACCATTAGAAGCAAGCTTTGTACTAGTCTTTATAAATTAACACTGGTTTGATTTCGATTAGTCCCGCTTTTTTGAAGAATTTCTTTGTAGATCCTTAGTTTGTATATCTGACTGATTAACACATCATAGATATGAAAGTCCATACATTCCAGTGATCTGTCAATTTCATGAATGTAGCAAATTTACTGTCACATCAAATAGTGATCAAAAGTTTGTCTGTGGTCAACTCCCATTTTCAAGTATTATCAGTTTCAGTATTATAGTCTTCGTATTATAAGTCATTATTATTATTATGCTTTGCTTGAACAGATATTACTTCTTCTTTTTTTTTATTGATCATATTATAAATTTTTATGAGACAATTTTCAGATATTTCCATTCAACTTTGAACTTTTTGTCAACTCTCTTTGCGAATTTGTGTTTTTTTTTATTTTGTGGCAAAAAGAAAATAGTTTGATCACTAACCTTATAGCATGCTTACTTATCTCATGTTTTCACAATCATTCTATAAATACAAGTCATTTGAGCAGGGACCAAAATTAATGAAAAAAATCTGTGATGAAAAACATCATTATTTTTGAAGATGAAAAAAATTATAATTTTTTTTTATCTACGTAAATTATTACGCAACATTTCATCACTTTAGAATCATTTTTACATAGGATTTCCCAATGAGTGCGAACAAAGAAAATGTCAGTTAATTTTGGTTAGATTCGAAAAATTCAAAAAAAAAATTGAAAAAATTCGCAAATATGAAATTTTGAAAAATAAAAATAGGTTAACGACTTAATTAAGAAACAAATTTATTTCAATTGTTTTTTGATGCAAAATTGTTTCTTTTATGTATTAATTGACACGGATACTGTAATTTTGCTCAAAATTTAACAAAAGCTTTTAATAGTTTATCAATCGTTTCTTCGCAATGTTCAAAAACTACTTCAACTTGGGCAATTACTGTATCAATATTGTTGATTAAATGAAGGATCAGAACATGAAATAAGACAATTTAATAGCCTATAAATGAATTCGACACATTAAAAAACATTGAACTTCTACTGAAAGTTCCCATGAAGATTCTTTTTTCAAGAAGTAATTTAAATGCAAAATGTAAACAAATAATTGTAACGGAAATTTCAAATTCAAATTTTTTTCCCGCGCTCGAAAATTAGATCCTTCGAAATCGAAAATTAGTTCTCATCGCGTAAGAATCATTTTTACATAGGATTTCATCACGTAAAGCAAAAAATGACGTATAAAATGTTTTTATGCAAGTTTTTTAAGCAAAACTAATCTATTATATCTCTTGTTCTTATTATTTAGCATTATTAATACATTTGGTGTGATTTTACTGCATTTTTTCGTTTACGTGATGAAATCCTACGGAAAAATGATTCTGCGTGATGAAATTTTACGTAATAATTTACGTAGATGAAAAAAATTATAATTTTTTTCATCATCAAAAATAATGTTTTTCATCACAGATTTTTTTCATTCATTTTGGTCCCTGCATTTGAGTCTATCCGAAAATTGCTTACACAAAAAAGTTTAACTGAATTTGTTAATTAAGATATCTTTTTTTTGTTACTATGAGAATTTTTTTTTTTTTTTCATTAATTTTCAGTCTTTTCTTTTCATCTTGAAAAAGCTTATTATTTTTATATCGGTAAATTAATTCTTTTTACATTTGTTTGCGTATCTAAAAAATATTAACACTATGATACAAAAGAGTACCAAAATTTTACATTTTCAACTAATTTTAATTCATTTTTTTTATATTAATTTAATATCTGTTCAAACCAAAACCTTTCTTTCTTCATTTTTGTCTCGATTAAAATTATTTTGTTCAGTTCCGATGAAAGCTCGATTTATTTTCATAATAGTTCTTTATGTGACACCACGACGATAACGGTCACATATTTTTTTTTATTTTTTTTCCTTTTCACGAACACGGCAATAAACGAACGCGAACGCGCGATTTCTTCTTTAGTTTCCGTTAAAATTGTATTTAATAAAAATAATTATAATCAAAAAATTGTTTCTCATGTATAGTAGTAAATAGAATATAATCATCAAAAATTAATTCATTAGTATCATAAATATTAGGAGGGATGGGGATGGGTTCGAGATTTGTGGGTGTGTGAATTTATTTTCACAAGTTTTTATTTTTTGAATTTAACGGCTTTTGAGATTTTGAATTTGCAGTACTAGATTTGAATTAAGATTTTAACGGAAATTTCAAATTTGAATTTATTAAGGTTCAATTTGAATAATTTTAGCTCAAAATTGGACCCCGTTTTTTCAACTTTCTAAGTATCAGTTTCAATGCCTTATGACATTGTCAATGAAATAAAATCGAGAAGATAGCAAAATTTCTTTAATTAAGTTAAAAAATTCAAAATTTTCATTGAAGTTCAATTTCTTTACTAAGCTACTACTCGTTACTAAGCTACTAGTGAGCCAACAAAAAAATCACTTTTTTATTCTTCTAAGTTACTAGCTTTTAACGAAAAAAACAGGGTAGGTACAATAAATGTGTTGACTATCCGAATATGAATGATCCACACACCTACATGTCTCGAAGGAATCAAAGGAAGTTACTTTTGTTGGTTTTTTTTTCAATTATCTTCACCCTACAATTTTGCTTATTATTACTACATGTTTATTTATATGCAAATTATTAGAATCATGCATTAGCTATGCAGAAAATATATAGTTATGTGCCTCTTTACAGATATTCATGCAATATATGTATAATTCACTTGAGCTCTAACTGAGATAAATTTAATTTTCATAGTAAGATATCAGCTCATTTTTTATCATAACTCACATTGAATACTTTAAAATTGATATTGTTTGTTTTTTTTTAATTTAAAGAAAAGAAGAAAAAATTCTGTTTAAGGAAATGAAAAACTATTGTCTCATGATTTTTAAGTTAAAAAATCATTTCTTTATGTTTTGTAACTTTTGGAGAATTGTAAAATATATTTATAAATTGTTTTAAAAAAGAGTTCATCTGTCATCAAAGAAGTAAATAAAAATTTTGAATATTGATTTCTATTCTAAATCTTTTTTTGAAAAAGATAGGAAAATATATGATCAAGAGTTTGTGTCATTTTCACCTCAAATAACACGGGAGTTTTGATAATTTCTTTAAAATATTTATATCTCACATTTAAATGTTTTTTGTTTGTTAATGATTGATTTGAAGAATTAGCATTATTAATGAGAAATGTATGGAGTAAGATATTATATTTTAAATGTCATACATCGCATTGAGTCGTTCTGCTAATTGAGGTGGAAATTGGTCAACAAAATGTCGCCAATTCTCATCTCCTACTTGCGTCTTGAAGCCATGAAGAATCTGTTGAAAAATAATTAACGGAATTAGTCTTTAACTAATGCTTAAGCTTCAAATAACTGTCATGATATATTTGAAAAATAACATTCAAAACATATTTAAAAAACTAAAGTTCAAAAATTGAACTTTAACTTATTTCAAAAAAAAAATTTCATCGTTAAATTGAATTAACACTTACGTTCTTCAACATCTCATGAAGGTCTGGTTTGGGACTGCTCCATGAAGCAGCTGCGTCGCAGAAGAATATGAAATCGGGAACTACACCAGAAGGATTTACAGAAATCATTTGACACATGCCACGAAAGGCTGAGTCCTTTTCCTCGTTGTCACGAATATTTCGCAACGATGAACACCTAAACATTTAATATAAAACATAAATTAATTAATCAAACATATACTTTGATGAAAATTACACAAATAAAGGTTGACGTAACAATGAATTAAGGATTGAACTGAACAAAATAAATTTTTTACACACCACTGTCTGACAAATTGCTGTAATGAAGGTGCAACTTCCATCGGACACACAAAACCAAGACGACCAATCGTAATTGCTAAATTCAACCGAAAATAAAGTAAAATTAACTTTTGAAATAATTGATAATTGAATTCATATTAATACAAAATATTGGAAATAAGATAAATTATACTGAAGCACAATTAATATAATTAATTAAAATTAGTGTTTTTAAAAAGACGAGGCCAGATTTACGTGATTCGATGATATTTTACCTGTATTTTCAAGAAGAGTTTTTGGAGTATTTTGACTCTTAATTATTTCAATTAATTGATGAAGAACCATCGGAATAAATGGTTTCGTATCAGCACCAAGCTTTATGCTAATCTCTCCAATCGCCCATGTTGCATTATTACAAACTGAAATATATTCGGGATTCAAATTGTTACCCAAAATAGGTAAGAAATCGGAAATGTATGGATGTACATGCGGAAAGCATGCCTTTGTCAAATCCCCAAGAAGTGCAAACGAGGACTGTCGAACCTAAAAATAAAAAAAATATTCTATAAATAAAGCGAACTATTGTAATTCAAAATTTTGAAAACTTTTAAAGTTCAAAAACTTTAGTACAAAAGATTTAAATTTAAAAAAGCCGTTAAAAACGTACCTCAGGCATCGAATCTTGCATGCATTGATAAAGCAACTGCATAATATTGCTGCTCATTACAAGTGATTCAATGTGAATGTCAAGTCCTTCAGCGAGTCCGCTTAGTAGATCCAATGCAACAATCATGAAATCCTTGTCTGGCGAATCATAATGTCCTGGTGAAGTTGTGCTTGCAATCTCTTGATTTAATGTCTGTTGGATTAATGATATGCATCTACGATAGACAGGCTCACAGTAAGGAAGAAAACCACTTTGTAGAGCTGTTGCAACACTCGAAAGACATTCAAGGAGTGGAAATAAATCTTTGTCTTCATCCTTTAGCATATTCCATTTTTGAATGAGTGGCGGCATCAACAAGTTAATGTATTCAGACTTGTTAAGATGATGTCCAACAGAGTCTGCCAATGTTCCAATTGCATCGTATAGTATGAGAAGATTTTTATGTTGATATTTACTAAAGGCAAAAACTAAAGTTTTTAGAATAAATCCTAAATAAGGAACTAATTCGGTGCAGGCTTCTTCCTCTAAGCTAGCAAAACTAGAGCATGCTGCTTCCTGAACTCTCTTATTTGCATCCAAAATTCTCTTAAGTAATTCCTCAATCAATGGTTTCAAATATTGATCGTGCGGCTGTGAAACAACCCAGTGAGCATAACGTGATAATGTCCAACACGTAATTGATCTTACTAATGCCTTCTTATCGCTCAGACAATTAATTAAGAATGGAATAAGTTCGGGTAAATGCGGAATCATTCCGTTCATGCAGCCTTCAGCAATAGCACCCAATGCGAGTATGCCACTTTCCTTAATAACCCATTGTTCGTGGAATAATGTCTCTTTTAAGATTGGTAACAAAATCGGAAGTATTTCGTCTTTAAAGACATTTGCAAGAATGTCTAATGCTGCAGCTGAACACTTTCTCAAGTTCCAATCACTTAAATTTGAATCGTCAACTAAGCCATCGTCCTCTTCGTCTGAATCTCCAATGTCTGCATCATTTGGTGTTTGATGTGCATCTCCTTTAACTGTGTGCGTTCTAGATTTATGGAATCTTGGTTTTATGTCTTCATCTCTGTCCGGAATGAATTCGTCTTCTTCGACATCGCCTTTCAATATGATTATATCAATTTCGGAATATTTCATGCCTTTAACCAAGACAGGTGCTAACTTATGAAGATGTGGACCAAGTACTTCCTTACAAACTGGATGTTCAGCGAGTGATAGCCAAAATTCACATGCCTCTAATGCTGTATCATCATTATCTTGTGTACGAACAAGCATATACTCAATAATTGAATTCATATGTGGCATTAATCGATCCATTCGTACATCCAAGAGCATTACTAAGCCTCTACATACATTCTTCCTTACTTCATGATCCTCATCACTCGATAAATGAAAGAGATTTTCAATGAATGTATCAATATGAATCATGAGTGCTTGAGTACGATGAATGATGAACTGATTAATGCAGGCAATAGCATGAGAACGGATTTTTGGACTTGAATGGCGGAAAAATTGAAGAAACTTTGGAATCATTATGTTTAATGGTCGATTTAATTCGTTACTATCGAGGACTTCGGCTGAATCTTCACAAATCTTTTGTAAAGCACCAAAAGCACCTTCGCAAATACTATATTCTTGAGAATCCAACATTTCACAGAGTGTAGGCAACAGTTCTGGCCAATTTAGAATGCCTCCTTTATTAGCAATTGTTGTTATCAAGATTCCTACAGTTGCTCGAATTAATGGTGACGGATCTCCAAGTGCCATTAAGCATTCCTTCTTGATGTATTCAATGATTTCAGGTTGTAAAGTTGATGCATGTATTTTAATATTATTCTTCAATATGAGGCCACTCAATGAGCGCGTAGGCTCATCTTGCGATGTTAATTTCGTGAGCACATATATTAAATAATTGTTAAAATCAGGATATCGATTCAGTTCCTCTAATTTCTAATGGAAAGATTAGTTGATAGTCATAAAAGATCCAGTGAAGATTCAAACAAGGAAAATGTGACTTACCAATTGGACATTTCTTTGAATTTGATTATCTGTCGACTGGCTCTGTTTTAGTAGCGTTATTATCTGATTTAATCCTTCAGCCTGTGGCTCCCAACTTGCCATAATTAATGATTAATATAATAATGCTGTGTTCTGAAACAAATTTTCATTAATTCACTTCAATTCTTGCTCTATGGCTTCACATTTGTTTTCTTGGGAAACTCTGGATGCTCTTGATACTGCTTACCTTCGTTAATGCTGAATGTGATGCTTTTAAACCAATTTATTAATTAAAATGTATTTTTTCCTCTGTAATTTTTTAATAATTCTACTGAACACACTCGAAAAAGTAAAACATTCAAATTTTTTTGAACCGTTATTTTTGACAAAGTAGGTACTGCAAATCAAGGAAAATCAGGATGGATACAAGGAAAGCGTTTGGATACTTTTTGATCACTTTTATATATTGATATTAATGAGAAAAGATAATTTGAATGACAAAAAAAAATAGAATATAATTATTTAATCTTGACAAACTTCTGTAAGCTTATTGTTAATCAAATTATGAAGCGCGATAATGGAACGGACTAATGAAGCAAGGTAAACAACCAGCATTTGATCATTAGTCTTGATGTAGAGTGTATCGGTAAAGTTGTCATGACTGATGTCAGGTAAGAGATTAAAAATATCCTGCATTTGATACATAATTTGATGATTGATTGGCATATCGCCTTTTCCGACTTTAAGTAAATACTCTTTGATGTCACGCAATTGACAATTCAGTCCTTTCAAGCCCAACAATTGATTGGTCACCTTCTGCGACAAACTTCCTACTGTCGTGTCTTTGATGTCTCTCAGCAAATGCTCGACACCGACCTCTTCTGCTTCCTCAGCACCAATTGCACTGTAAATTAATGATAAAAGATCCAGTAATTCATTGTTTTGCCTTTTTTACAACATAATTTACCTTGGAACATGTTCAAATGTTTTCTTTGTTAATGTGCCGTCTTCATGAACCTCTTCTACTGCGATATATGCTTCTGTTGGCAGTCCCAATTCTTTTGGACGAGCATCAATGATGACTAAAACTGAATTTGGACAATAACGTCTCAAAAGCTCATTAATTGCGATATCATTTTGATGCAATTTTGGTCCAGTATGATACCATCCTACAACTCGTTCACGAGCATTTACTTTCTTAAACATCCCATACATGGATTCGAGATAATCGTGATCCAAAAACCACACACTTCTGTCCTTTTCATCTTCATCGAATGGAACTAAACATATACACACACAAAGGAAAGTTGATTAATTAATGAAATAAGGATAAACGTTTGTTAATAACTCACCAGCAAAGCTATTTGAAACATCCAGAATACCTTTAGCTTTCCAGCAACCAAGCAAAACTCCAACAACTCTTTTTTGATTGCCGATCTTGCTCATTCGCGTGAAATGGTCCACAACAGACAGAAGAACTAACGGATGGATGATTACCTTAGTTGTTGAATATTCTCCAGGCATTTTGACAATTCTACAAGTTAATTAAACTATGTTTTAAGCGAAAATTTATTCTTTTTTAGTCTTTCAAAATGCAAGTCACTAAAATGTACACTTTGGGGCCAGTTTTTAAGTTGCGTAACAGGGGTTTGTTGGATTTAAACAAACGAAACGTTAGTTTTTGTGTAACATTATGAAGGAACAATCCCTGTACTAAACACACTCTAGTTTTTTAAACCTTTAAATTACCGTTGTTTTCAACATAGAGCTATTATCATTTCAAAAATAATTTGTAACGGAATAAAATAGATCGAAATGAGCTTAATTAAGCTATTTTATATAAAAAGTAATGATCGGATTCCTATAAAACTGCAATAAGAAGTAAATGATGCTTAATGAGAATATCTGAACATTTTTTCCGTCCCTAGATCATTTTGCTATTCGGCAAATTATTAGTGGGCCTCGACGATTTTTGTAGGATTATTGCTCAACGGGAAAATTAAATTTGAGTTCACTAATACTATCTTACAAAACATCAAAAATTAAATTCTCAAATATCTTAATTATTCAATCATTATTCCCAAATATTATGATATGACTACGAAAAGTAGATAATACATTAGCTATTCTGCTTATTTTAAGAGGTTTAACATCATTATTGAGTGATATTTTCATGATTTTTTAAATTTCATTTCAATTTTTGTTTGTAAACAAACATCTCACGACAGAAAAAATTCAAAAAATTTAAAACCGTTAAAAAGTTTTTAACTTATTTGAAAATTTTGAAAATTTGAACTTCAATTATTTTGAATCCTAATATATACGTATAAGTACATCTTTGATACAGCTTGAAAATTTTTAGACATTAGCCTTGATCGGCTTTAATTCTAATATAGCTTGAAAGTTTAATATTTTTAATGAATGTAATTGACAACTGTTTACTTGAGGTTAAGGTATAAAAAATTTTATAAAAAAAAACCAAGTGAGAGAGAAAAAAAAAAAAAAAAAAAAAAAAAAAAAAAAAAAAAAATTATGCTTATATACTACGTTGACTAAAAGAGTCATTTCTGAACTGGCTTGTTCGATGCTGGAGGGTATTTAATTATGCCATACTTCATCATGAGATTGAATGCTGCTCCTGGAGTGTTCGGGAGTTTTTCGATATCATCGACAAAACTGCAGTATTCATTTATTACTTGCTCGATGTTCGGGACTTTCTTGAGTCGTTCTTGAGCTTCGGTAAATTTTTTGAAAAGACTTTCAGTCTTTATTGCTTCATTGAGTTTCTCTGCGTAACTTATATTGGAAATCAGTTGTTGCTGATTAATCTCTTGAATTGCTGTAGATGCTGATGGTAAGTTTGCCGCATTCACTGGATGTGACTGAGCAGCTTGATGTCTTGATCTATGTAATGATGGAAAGCTGTTGTCACTCAAAAGATTTGGTACTTGAGGCGGCATCTTGAAATTAGTAACTTTCGGCTTCGAGTTATGAATTCTCTTGGAATATGTTATAAATGTTGGGCACAGTCTATAGCTGGCTGCATGATCGCCATTGCAGTTTATGCACTTGGCACTTCCTTCGCGTGATGTTCGCTTGCATTGACCTAACGCGTGATCCTCAGTGCATTTGACGCAACGGAATTTGTATCCGCAATTTTGAGATGAATGGCCCCAACGCTGGCAATTGAAGCACTGCGTTGGACTTTTGTTACCTGACTTGATGTTTTCCCATTTAACGATGATGTTGTCGATGTGTCGATGGTTGTGATTAAGCACGTTGATGTTCACATTTTTATCTTGAAAGTGAACAAGATAAAAAGTGAACTCTGGTTTACTAACCAGCACGGTGACTTTAATCGCTGGAACAGACGCCTTGATGAGTGTTTTCAGCACTTCATTTGTGGGAGCTTCGTAAAAACCCTTCAGGACCAATGTCTGTGGCTTCTCAGATTTCTCGGAGAAGGTGTGGAATTGAATAGTTTGAGACCGCAGAAGATTTATTATTGAGGCCTTATCCTCAATAGACTTGACAATTACTTGAGTTGTATTTAATGATGAAATTTTATATGCAGGCATAACCTGCAATTTCAATAGTGAGATTAATTTTCTCACATCCTTGAGACTGCATTGCACAAATATTGGCTTGACTGAAGTTGTTGTTGTGACTGGAACCGATGATTCCTCTTTCTGAGGCGTTTGCTTCCTCTTCTTGGAATTTTCATTAGATTTAATTGACCTTTCGTCCAAATCAATTTTTGGCGACAAATCTTGCTTTCTTTTGGCTTTCCTCATTGTCCTTGAGGAAAACACAACCCTTGACACTTAGTAAGAAGTTTTTTCTCAACTAATAACGACTTGGACACTTTAATTAATTTAATAAAAATTTTTTCCACGTTTTGTGCGCGGGGCTTGAAACTTAAACTCTTTTTTAACTTAATTTTGTTCTTATAAGTATGTTTCGGGGACAATTTATTCCTGTTTTTGGAGCCAAACAAAAGAGAATAAAATTTCTGATCTAAAAAAAACATTTGAAGACATATCAATGAAAACTGACAAAGTTATGGCAAAATTCCCAAAAATTATTCGTGAGTGACGCTTAGTTAAAGAGTCACTTTTGTGGTTTGGGGCCGTTCACTTATTACGTTACGGAAAAAACGACTTTTTTCACCCCCCCCCCCCTTGTTACAATATGTTACAACTCACACCCCCCCCCCCCCCTAAACTTTCATAATTTAATTTATTTTGATAATTTTTCATAAATCATTAAAAAGGTGGAAAATTTAAAAAAATGTTTTTGGTGTCAAATTTTTTTCATGAACTTTTTTTAAAAGACAGACGACAGTTAGAACGTTACATACTTTACACCCCCCCCCCCCTTACGTTACATTTTGTTAAAATTTTTCAAACCACCCTCCCCCCCCCCCCCAAAATGCGAACGTAATAAGTGAACGGCCCCTTTCGGAGATATTTAAGATTTTAAAGCGTCACTCACGAATAATGTTTTTTCGTCGGGGCCCTAGTCCAATCCACGAGTACATAAAATTTGCAGAGAGGACATAGAAATTAAATTACAGCATTAAAAACACCTTTATTTCTTGAGGACATCACATAAATAGAATGTAAGTACAATAATCTACAGAATAAGCTATTGATTAAGTCAATTCCTGCACATTTTCCTTAAATAAACATGAAATTCGATCGTGAAAAATATAAAAACATATTTCATAAGAATTTCAGTCTATTTATACCTTTTTGCAATTTCTAACTCATCTTCCGTCAATATTTTCGCATTAGTGCACTAAATTGCTGTGCATTAGGCATAGACTATGAGTGGGTGATGCAATAAGTTGATGTTTTTGGTTATTCGGTTTAATTATCAATTTTGTAATATAATTAAAATGGGCAAGACCGCGAAAAAAGTGAACAAATATTGAAAGTTGATTCACTCAGAGTTTAGTTATTCAATCGTCACAATTCTTTCAGTGGCTTATAGCCAAATATAAAAACTGAATTTTTAACCCAATAGTTTTAAAATGGCGACTTTATAAGTTAGTTTAATTTCTAAATCAAACATTCAAAGTGATTTTTATCCAAGAAGGAAGCTGTAAAAGGAGCTGATATGTTCATAAAAGTTGTTGAGAATCTTATTTTCTTTGATTTATCATACACACATTTTCAAATTAATACACAAAATTAGTTAAATTAACCAAAATTGATTTTACATATTAATTTAATGAAATTTTCATTATTGTCCCTCAAAAAGCATTAATTAATGATAAATTACAACTTTCCTGCAAGAATTTACTGCAATAAAGCCTTCTAATTTAGTTAATTTAAGTAAAAGTTTATTTTACAACTCTTTAATCAACCAAAAAATTTAAATTTTCAAAAACGGTTAAAAATTTTTGGTTAAAGTTTTTAAAGTTTTTGCTTTTTTCTTGTTCTATAACATTATATTGTGATATATTTTGCTAGAACTAAGCATATTTGATGAATAATTATCATTTTACATCATAAAATTAAAAGAATATCTATTCAATTGCCATTTAAAGGCAATTTTACAAAATGACCAAAAAAGTTAATTATACTACTTTTTTCAAAATTTTTTGACTTCTATCATAAAGCCAAGGTCTAAGACTATATTTGTGTCAAGAAAAAAGTTAAGTAAGTTAAAAATTGATAGTAAAATATAGGAAAATAAGGTTAAAAACATTAATTAAATTAACTTATTAAGTCGCCATTTTGTTTTTATTACTTTTTAATGATAACTGTTGTTTTAAACTAACTATTGCTGAAAAAACTATCGAAATCGGTGTAAAACTAAGCGAGATAGACTAGTTTTAGTAAAATTTCAAATACCCTTCCCAAAAATTCAGTGTCAGATTTTGCCTATTTTCAGGCTCTACAGCCTTAAGTATAGTACTTCCAATAAAAAGTTACATACCAAAAGATAGGCATCAAAAAGTTCTATAAAACAGTATGTTTAGTTTTACTGTAAGTATTTTCGTTACAGAGATATAAACAAAATAATAGCAAAATCTGACACTTAATCGAAAAACGGTCTTGCCCAAATTATCTTATAATCCTTATCAGTTAAACAACATGGTGACTGAAGAAACAGCGGCAAATAGTGAGGCACAGTCAAAAAAGGCAGCAAAGAAGCAAGCTGCTAAGGCTGAGAAAGCTGCAAAGGTAAAATTAACTTATAATACATGTTATGCGCGACTTATAGCTTCATTTTAATCCTAGAAAGCCGAACATAAGGCAACAGAACATGGTACAACTGAGAATCAAGATGAAGCATCTGGCGAGGATTATTCAAAAGACAAGTACGGACACTGCAAAATGATTCAGTCTGCTGAGAAATTGTCGGAAAGAAACTTCGTTCCAGTACATCAATTAGGTGAATCATTAGGCACGCAATCGTCAGTTTGGGTGCGTGGGCGAATCCACACATCAAGATGCAAGGGTAAGCAATGCTTTATCGTTTTACGACAGCAATCGAGTACAGTTCAAGTTCTTATATCTGTCAATGAGAACATTTCAAAACAAATGGTAAAATTCTCTGGATCGTAAGTTGTTTACTTAATTATTTACACGTGCTACGTGATGTTACTATCGTATACATGATTTATTTTAGAATTCCTCGTGAAAGTATCGTTGACATTCATGCAAACATAATTAAAGTTGATCAGAAGATTGAATCGTGTACTGAAAAGGACTTGGAATTACATGCTATCGAGATCTATGTTGTATCACAAGCTAAAGCTCAATTGCCTTTACAAATTGAAGATGCTGCTCGTCCTGAAAAGAAGGATGTAAGATGACATTTTAATTAAAATTGACAAAATAAATGCCCTCATAATAATTTTGTAGGATCCAGACAGTCTTAATATTCGTGTAAATCAAGATACTCGTTTAGATAATCGTGTCTTGGACCTTCGTACACCAGCAAATCAAGCCATTTTCCGCTTAGAAGCAGGAGTTTGCAAATTATTCCGTGACATTTTAGCCAATAAAGGATTCGTCGAGATTCATACACCTAAAATCATTTCTGCGGCTAGTGAGGGCGGTGCTAATGTTTTTACTGTCAGTTACTTTAAGGAATCGGCATATTTAGCACAATCCCCTCAATTATACAAACAAATGGCTATTGCTGCTGATTTCGATCGTGTCTTTACTGTTGGAGCTGTTTTCAGAGCTGAAGATTCAAATACTCACCGACATTTGACTGAATTCGTTGGATTGGATTTAGAGATGGCATTCAAATATCATTATCACGAAGTTCTTGAAACTATCGGAAACACATTCACTGAAATGTTTAAAGGATTGCGTGACAAGTAAGTCAGTCGCAATGTTTTGCAAACAAAAGTTATGTTTTATTCATTTTAATTGACCACCAGAGCTTAATGAATTAAATATTTGCTTGTATAAGTGCACTTTAGTGATGCTTAGTTCAACTGCATTTTTACATGATATCACCGGATTTTCGATATTTGAAATATAACAGTCACTTGAAATTTTAATTCCTCTTAATTGTTCTAAAACTTTGAAATCCAAAAAGCCGTTTTATATATTGAATTTTTCCGGTTCAGCATTAGCATTACTTAATTGATATTTGATGACCTTGGATGCATTTCTGATCTAATTCCTAATGTGTTTACCAATAATTTTCTCATTTTCTTTCAATTAGTTATGCAAATGAAATTACAGCAGTTGGACAACAATACAATGTCGAACCATTCAAGTTTTTGGAACCACCATTAAGATTAGAATTCCATCAAGCCGTTCAAATGTTGCGTGAAGCAGGAATTGAAATGGATGATGAAGAAGATTTATCAACACCCAATGAGAAATTACTGGGACGTTTAATTAAAGCTAAATATGATACTGATTTTTATATGCTGGATAAGTTTCCACTTGCAATTAGACCATTCTACACAATGCCTGATCCCAACAATCCTAAATATTCCAATTCTTATGACATGTTCATGCGCGGAGAAGAAATTTTATCTGGAGCACAACGTATCCACGATCCTGAATATTTGGTAGAACGTGCCAAACATCATGCAATTGGTGAGACAATATTATTGATTTATTGTGCTATATGCCGTTTTTGAAGCATTCAATCAAAAAAAGCAATTTATGAATCTTATTGCATTCATTTGAATTTATGTGGATTAACTTTAATCTTAAGATTTAATGTTTAATCCAAGTCCTAATCCTAGGATTTATTTAAATCAGAATAGATTACTCTTAATCCTTTAAGATTAAAAATGTAACTTAGCAACAACGAACCATAGACTTGTCAATGATAACATATCTTTCTAATTGCAGACATATCAAAGATCGCGGCATACATTGAAGCTTTCCGTTTTGGATGTCCTCCACATGCTGGTGGTGGTATTGGAATGGAGCGTGTTGTCATGCTGTATCTTGGATTGGATAATATCAGAAAGACGTCAATGTTCCCTCGCGATCCAAAGCGATTAACCCCGTAAAGGGACAGACAAAGAAAATAAAAATCAATATAGACCTTGATGCTTATACTTAAATATTTGATTTTTTGATTAAATTTTTCAATAAAATATCCTACAAGAACAAATAAATAACTTAAATAATTTTTCAAGTAACCACTTGTTGCCATTCACATGGATTTATATCTACAAAATTCATGTTTATGAATAAGAAACGTGACACAGCCAAGGAGAGAATCCAAAAGAGAGAGAGAAAATGTGAAAATTCTCTCAATTTTTTCACTAAAAAGTCTTGTGTTGTGTTTCAATTTTCAGTCGTTCAGATGCTTTGGAAATTTACTTGCGGACGGAAGAAAATTTTTTTGGTCATAAAGCTTGCTTTTTCCATAGTTTTTGCTGAATAATTAAAGATTATTTTCAATTATTCCCAAATCGTAAGCCGTTGATATAAAGTGCCTAAAATACCAGAAATAATAAGTGATTTAACGTGTTTCAAGCTTATCAGCTCATTTATCTTTAATTGCGTTGTGCTGTGACTCAATCCAATTTTTTGGTCTATTTTTATCGTATTATTATATGCAAAAGTTTAATAAAATAAAGGATAATGTCTGTTGCACCAAAATTATTACAACGAATTGATGCTCATCATTCTGATGTTACGGGTTTGGATTTCTTTGGAAATTCATTACTCGTTACTGGATCTAGGTAGGACATAAAAGCACTTTTTAATACACGTAATCTCTTAATTTCTTTAATTCAATAACATAATTAAAATAATAATGTTGGATATAGTGATAAGACAGTAAGGTTGTTTAAATGGATCTCTGGATCTGGATTTGAAGAAGCCCTGAACTCTCCCTTCTTGGGTCACAAATATGCAGTCACAAAGGTTGGATTTTCACCAAAAGTAAGTATAAATTGGTTGTAATTACTCCTCCTTTCGTGTCCTTTCCTTTTCTATTTACATACATTCACTATTCGGTTCAGTTGCTTGCTCGATGTCTGTCTGTGGAAAATAGAAAAAAATAATAGCTTTATATGTGGTGAAAATTATCGTAATTAAATTTGATTCTTATCAACAAACATTTACCTCGTAGTTGAGTAAATCAAGATATTATATTTTTGGACGTACTTATACAGAAAACGCACGACTATATAGTGAAATCAGTGTTCAATTGTTGACAATTTAATATGGGCGATTCTCCAGATAAAAATTTTTAAAAAACCACCACTAAAATGAATTTTTTATAATTTTTTTCCATTAGAGAGCCTTGAAAGACAAATTAATATTGTACAACTTTTTAAACTCTACAAATATGTATAATTAAATGCTTTCAATATACTCTAATTAAGGAAATATTTCGATTCTTCGGACGATTTCTCGAAGACAAAATATGGAATTTTGATTTTTATAATCAAAAATTAAGTATTAAAAACTATTCTTTGACATATGATATAAATACCAATCGATAGAAAACGAACTACTTTATCATATATGACAACAATTTTATTAAGCTTGATACAAATTTCACAAGAAAATTCAATTCTTTTGATGAAAATTTTGTCTTCGAGTAATTTTTAAAGCGCTTGAAACTAATTTGTGAGATTCAAATTTTTCAAATACGTTATAAATTTAAATGGAATATTTTTAAAAGAAACGACGATGATTGAGTGCAATATTAATTATTAATTACCTTTTGTTTAATTAAAACATATAAAAAAAATGATTTTTATAAATTAAAACAAAATTTTATTTTTGTAAACAAGTCTTTGTTTACATTTTTCCCAACGTATTTCAAAAATTTAAAAATTTCAAGTAGCAGTGGAATTACAGTTCTGTTTTTAAACATTCAACCTATCTGGAGAATCGCCCATAAGAAACTAAGAAAAGGTTGTTGTTCACATATGATGCTTATTTGCTGTATCACGGCTTAGCAACTAGGAACTATACAGCTTAAAACTATACAGTTTTTTATCAGTCTTTGGGCATTCAAAGTTCAACGGTTTGGTTTTTTTGTGATTCAAATTTTTAGTACAAAAAAGTTCAAAAATTGAACTTTATAACTTTTTAAATTTTATGTATCCGTTAAAGTCCAGTACAGCTTTGTTCAAAAATTATGACATCAAACTTACCTTAATTCAGTAGAATATATTGATATTCTCATTGGAACTGTTTGTATGCTCCTCTACAATTAAGCGAAATTTGTAGGCATATTGATTTCGTTCCTCAACCATTCCTAAATCGTTGTATAATCTAGCCAAGTACATGTAAACGGCTTTAACTTTACGCCAACACTCTAATTTTGTGAAATATGTTATAGACAGCTCAAATTGTTCCTTCAACTCCTTGACTTTACCAATTTTCTCTTCTTTTGTTGATATGGACGCAATTAGGCACTGATTGAACAGAAACATTGCCTTTCCTTTGTCATAAATTCCACCATTTGATAAAATATTCTCGATATTAGCTTTAATAACTTTAAGTGCTTCTTGTGGCATATTCATGCTTAATAGAATATAGCTAATGTGCATGTTGATAATTGAATATTCGTAATTTAAAAACTTTTCTTGTGCGAGCACTGCTGCTCGATTTAAAATCAAAAGGGATTCCGATGATATAGAATTAGAATCAGACATGCAGAATGCTTGAATAATCATCGCTCGAACTTTATAAAGTGTCTGTAGTTTCTCGTCATCACCATCATTAGCAAGAAGGATGTCCAAAAGATTAAGAGCAACGGATCGATTTCCTCTTGCAATATTCAAATTTGCCCGCTGCAAAACACTCAAATTTGGATCAATATGATAAATATGGTCACATGCTGTTGCTGCATCACTCCATTTCTCTAAATAAATTGTTTGAATTGAATTGACGTAATACTCGACGAGCATCCAATTTTTAGATATCGGATATCTTTGGAATCGTTCCTTTACTCTCGTTGTTATTAATGAGCTTGTTATAAAATCACCTTGCATTGCAAGCCACAAAGAAACATTGCAAAGTGCTTGACAGAATCCTTCGCCATTATATGTTCTTTCCATAACTTTTAAATTGGAATTGAGCAACAGTTGACTACATAATGATCCAATTTCATGCCATCCATAAAGATTCCAAAGTGCTGCACGCTCAGCCATACAATTTGATATCAAGTTCATTAAGGAATGCTGACAATTAAGAATATCACTTTTTATAAGAACGTCAAATAGTTTTGAAGGCAAATATCCAGATAATGCTGCGACTTTAACGAGTGACTGGATATTTAGTGAAACTGATCTTACAAGTGTCTGTTCCGTCTTATTTGCAATATTTTTCTCACACAATTGAAAGTTCTTTTTATCCAATAGAGATAGCCACAATTGAGCTAGTTGTAGACAAACTCGATCGCCATTCTCTTGTGCAACCATGATACATTCCTTTAAACATGTCATAGCTTCTTCATTTTGCTCAAACATTGTATGAAGAATTGCTAGATTTAACAATGAATACTGAAAGTGTGACTTATTATCTTGATTTTCCCATCCTGGCTTTCCATTGACTCTGTCAAATGAACGATGAAGTGCCTCTATTGAATTAGGCAAGTCTCTTAATCTCACGTTATTTAAATATGATAAGAAGTATGCTTTAGAATAAAGTGGCGTGTAAGTCTGCACAATTTCATCAATTTTCTTTTGTAACTTCTTTGGATTGAGTGCCTTCACTTCATCATTCTCTAACAATGCACTCTGTTGTGTTATGAATATTTCTGCCTGTTTAATGTTCCATTTATGCTTGGGCAAGCTTTCTTCATCGATTTGTTGTTGGATATTGGTATCTCCTAATGAAATGGCTCTAATTCCTTTCTCGTAATAAATTACAGTCTCTTTGTGCAGATTCATTAGATCTTGAAAAGACATTTTGTCAAGGTATACGAGAATTCGTCGGAAATAGAATCCCATCACACTTGATTGATGAATTAAAGGTGTATTGTTCCTTGTTTGTGTATCGGTAATTAATTCATCCATGATTTTTGATAATTTGAACAGTATTTCAATACCTAATTTGTTTAACAAGCTGATTGTGCCTTCAAATCCAGCGAGATGTACATCAGAAATTCGATATTTTCCAGTCAATAAATTATACAAATCTTTATAGCTCATATCCGAAAATTGTGTTAATTTGAGTAGTGTCATGTAGAATTTACGACGATATTCAGCTGAATAATGCATTGACGATGTTAGATTTTTATCATCATTATCATCCAGTTCTTCATCTTCTGATCTTTTCCTTAAATATTCTTTCAATAATATTACCACAAATATTTTATAAGGAGACACATTTCCTGAGCCTGTTTTGTTCGGTGCATTAGGTAGAAAAAAGTTCACTTCAGTCTCGTTATTATTCATCACTATAACTATCGATTTTCCACTTAATTTATTTAATTCCTATGAAACTTTATGCTTCAAATTTTATTTTTTTTTGTTGTTGTTTTTACCCGGCAATTCAAATGATTTAAAACCGTTACTTTTTTTGTTGTTGTTGTTACCCGGCAATTCAAATGATTTAAAACCGTTATTTTTTCTACTAGGGATATGTCATTGCCAGCTCTTCTGTTGATGGTTCTGTGATTTTTTGGGATGCAAATACTGGCGAACGAGTTGATATAATTCATCAACCAAACTTAGAAGCTATTAGAAACATGCAGTTTTGTCCAGGTACTAGATTTTAGAACATCTAATATATGAGTGTTTTGTATTTTCCCGAAAAGCAAAATAACGAATAACCGTTATTACGAATTACAAATTTACGAATGTTCATTTTTACGAAAATTTTTATGGTAAAAACTTATAGGATATAATTTGAATCTCAAAAAACCGTTGGTTAAATCAAACATTAAAAGACAATTTACATCAATTTCATCATTTAAATGCGAATAGATATGATATAATAATTATTATAAGATGAAGGATTAATAGAACTACAAAAAGAATTGCATTTATTTAAATGTGTAATATTTTTTCTTGTTTTATGAGTAATTCCATGAGAAAATTTTATAGCAAAATAAAAATTTTATAGAAAAAATATTTCACATTTAAATAAATGCAAATCTTTTTTTCAGTTCTATTAATCCTTCATCTTTTAATAATTATTTTATCATATCTAATCGCATTTAAATGATTAAATTACTTTTAACTGTCTCAATATTTGATTTTATCCAACGGTTTTTTGAGATTCAAATTAAATCCTATAAGTTTTTACCATAAAAATTTTCGTAAAAATGAACATTCGTAAATTTGATAACTCGTAAAAATTGTTTTTCGTTATTTTGCTTTTCGGGAAAATACAAAACACATGCTACGGACATTTCAGTGTCGAATTTTTTCGACATGTTTAAATTTAGTCGACCTAGCGTTTGAATATTTTAAAACCGTTAAAAATCTGTCAATTTTAAGATTTTAAGCATTAATATTTCAATTCCCGTTATTTTCTATGATGATTTTAACTAAACTTAGATAAACACGAAGCTGAGGATAAGAATCGTTTGCCCTAGCCTTGTTTTTGCCAGTGATTGCAAGAAATATTCATGAAAATTTAACGGTTTTTTGAAATTCAAAGCAAAAAATAACGGACTTTTCGAAGTGTCCGTAGCATGACAAAACACTCCTAATATATGAACGTTAATGGAGAAGAACGTCCACTTGATAAACGTTCATTTCGAAATCAAATTTGTTGAACCGATTTTTAAAAACATGCGTTCTTTTAGAATAATATTTTCCACATTAAAATCACAAAGTTTTAATAGGGTAAATACTTTTGAAAATTGCACACTTTTGAAATTCGCACACTCATATGAAAATAAAAAATACAAATTTCTCCCAGAATATCCACTTCTGATAATACTTTCTTCACAAAATCTTTGTATAATTATTGTACAAATGTTGTTGTACCATTTTAAGTTGTCTAAAGCCATCAGGAAGATGAATTCCTTCAGCGATCAATTTCTCATACAAAACGAAACTTTGAAAATATTAAGTTTTGGGATATAATCAGTGTCGTTATCAAATATTTTGATATCAAAAAATGTAGTTCTTAAGCTGTTTTAAATTTTGGAAGTATTTCTTTTGTGAAAGAATATGCGGAACTGCCCCAAAACTCACTTTTAATAAAGCTTGTTTTCAACTTTTAAAATTTGCACAAAAATTTGTCGAAACTTTTGAAATTTGCATAGTTTTAAGCGTAGGAGGTATTGAAAAATTCGATGTAAACATTAATTCTTTTGATGTAAACATTAATTTTTCTGATTCAAAACATTAATGTTTTATGCCTGAAATGAATATAGCGATGAATGGGACTGTAGGAAAATTGAGAAAAATATTCAAAAATCATCGGTGATTGAAAATTTACCGAAAAAGGAGTTGAAAAAAGCAAGAAATTCACGAAGTCAAATTTTAAAAGGAGCAAGTGTTAAATTGTTTCTAAAGGATAAATCCATGATCAAGCAAAGAAATGGCATTAAAATAAAATAATAATTTGCGAATTTAAAAATAGAATTAGTCTTTATTTAATGATGAATGATAGGAATGAAATCAGCTTAAATATGAGATATCCATTTTAAGTACTTGATCTTTAGTTTTACATGTAATGGATCCTGTTTTGATTTCTTGTGCTTGACTTTTGAATTTTTTCTTTCCTATAAAGAATTTTTCTTATAAATTTTCAACAACGATGCATGTGACGATATTAGAATAAGAAATCAGTAATACTGTTATTAGATTTGAAAATTACCAGATGAAAATATTATTTCTTCTCCCAAAAAAATAAAAAAAAAATTGTTTACATAAAATAAATACAAAATTGTCATGGATTGCTTTCAAAAAAGTGTGCAAATTTTAAAAGTTTTTTGTGCAAATTTCAAAAGTCAAAAATAAAACGCCTATATCTCTGCTAATATCCATCGTAGCTTTCAGAAAGAAGTTGCAAATGAAAATTTCCACAATTTTCAACAGGTCAAAAGTTTTTTTTAAGCCTTAAAAATAATATGTTAAAAAGTTTCAAGCAAATGAAATTTTCATGTGCAAAGTTGTGCAAATTTCAAAAGTGCTTACCCTATTTTAATTGAATTCACTCAGTACAATTTTGTGTAAATTCAATTAAAATATTAAAATTTTGTGATTTTAATGTGGAAAATATTTTTCTAAAAGAACGCATGTTTTGTAAAAATCGGTCAAACAAATTTGATTTCGAAATGAACGTTTTTCAAGTGGACGTTCTTCTCCATTAACGTTCATATAAAAGCCCAACTCACTGATTCACTGACTCTGGAACGGAAGCCATGTGAAGACATTTGTGAAGCCGTGTGAAGACAAAAATTTAAGGAGTGTTGACAAGGTGGTTGTTCGGTGGGTGTCAGGTGGGGCAAGGGGAGTGTTAGGTATATTTTGTGAAGCCGTGTGAAGCCAATGATTTGAGGGGTGCTGACAAGGTGGGTGTCAGTTGTGGGGGGGGGGGGGGACAAAGTGGATGTCAGGTGGGGATTGGGGGCAAGGAGGGTGTCAGGTATATTTTGTGAAGCCAATGATTTGAGGAGTTCTGACAAGGTGAATGTCATTTGGGGGGTGGAGGGGGGGGTCCGAATTTGAGGGGGTTTGTGGGAAAAGTTTGGTGTCAGGTATATTTTGTGAAGCCAATGATTTGAGGAGTTCTGACAAGGTGAATGTCATTTGGGGGGTGGGGGGGGGGGTCCGAATTTGAGGGGGTTTGTGGGAAAAGTTTGGTGTCAGGAATATTTTGTGAAGCCATATGAAATTTTGTGAAGTCATGTGAAGTTTTGTGAAGCCATGCGAAGCTTTGTGAAAAGACATGGTGGGTTTCGGGGGAATTAAAGTTTTAGTGGGATTAAGGGGGTCCGAGTTTGAGGGTTTGTGAAGACATTTATAAAATTTTTGTGGGATTAAGAAGGTTCGAGTTCGAGAAGGTTTGTGAAGTTTTGTGAAGCTATTTATAAAGTTTTTACGGGATTAAGGAAGTCCGAGTTTGAGGGAGTTTGTGAAGCCATTTATAAAGTTTTAGTGGGATTAAGACGGTTCGAGTTCGAGGGGGTTTGTAAAGCCATGTGAAGTTTTGTGAAGCCATTTATATAGTTTTTGTGGGATTAAGGAAGTCCGAGTTTGAGGGAGTTTGTGAAGCCATGTAAAGTTTTGTGGTAGGATTGACCTTAAAAACATTATGGTTATTTGCATCGTACTGTTATTTACATAATAGTAATAAAATTTTAACCCTGATAAGAGGCGCCACAGGCGCCTCTGGATAGCCTAGTACATAAATATTCAACTAAATTTGAAATTCCAAAGATGGATCATTAATAGCAACAAGCGATGACACTGGGATGATCTGCATTTTTGGACAGGAGAAGAAATTGATGAAAAGTATTAAAGGCATTCATGAAGAAGCCGTTCCAACACTAGCTTTCTCAAAGGATTCAAAAATCATGCTGACTGGATGTACCATGGGAAATATTCGATTGTTCTTTACCGATTTTGATGGTAACTTGCTTAAACTTTAATGACCGTTTTCACTAAAGTGGATATTAATCTATTGCGTTTAATAGTTCCATAAAAAAAAATTTACTGACACGAAATCTTGAAAAAAATTCTAGATCGTCCAAAGTTTCCGTGAAATCTACACGTTCGCGAAATCTTCTTTCTTTTGGAGCTCTAATATCATTAATCATGTCAATGTCACTATCTATATCACTTGCTATATTCATATTAAACTTATTAACAAGAAAAAACGACGTTAAATCAAAAATCAACTAAAATAGTTTATTTTTTTTTTTTCAATAATCCTAGGATTATCCTGAGATTATTCAAAAATTCCGAGATTATCCGATTTCTATCTTGGGGGGACCAGGATTGACATTTTCAATAATCCGATCCGAAGATAATCCAGGATTATCCTCAATCTTTTTTAGTGAAAACCATCATCCGAAGATTATCCCAAAAATTGGGGTGGATGATCCGAAAACGAGGATTATCCACTTTAGTGAAAACGGCCCTAATATCTTTTATTACTTAAAGAATTGATTATTATAGCTGAGCAGATAGTACCGGATTTATTGATTGATAATGGTCACGACATGGGTGTTTTAGATGCTGATTTCTGCAAGACGACAAGGTTTGATCGTAAGTGATCTATAGATTTTAAATTACTTACTTTGTGTAACTATGTCTCTTGACTAAGCAGCTCTGCATCTAAGCACAAAGATATACACGCTTGCAACATCTGGTAATGACAATTTGATAAAAATATGGCGAATCTACACAATTATTGAAGACACAAGACCTAGCCGTCGAAATAGTTCAGCAAGTGATTCGCCCAAGTTGTATTCTCGCTTAGTTCCAACAACAATGAATCAGCATTTTTCTGGAACTGCCACTATTTATCCTACAAATTATATGAATGCAGAATGTGTCAATTCATTTACAGCTCATGGATCATCAGTCACGTCAATTAAATTTAATACGACAGACACTTTGCTAGTTTCTGGATCTTTGGATCGATTAATTAAAATTTGGGACATGCAAGGAAATTGCTTAAAAACTTTAGATGAACACGCTCGTTATGTCAACTGTGTAGCTATAAATGTAAGGACTTTATTGACTTTAAATTGTTACGTTTACTATGGTAATAGAAATAATTAATTAAAGGCTGATTCTACAATACTTGCATCAGGCAGCAATGACAAGCAGGTTCACATTTGGGATTTAACTGGATCTTTTACTTTAGACTCACACATATCCAATGGATTGCGATCACTTTTAATGACTCTACAGTTAAATGAACAGGATGTGCCAATGGATTTTGTATGTCCAATTACGAGTGAAATTATGACAGATCCTGTGATTTTAGAAGATGGGTTTAGGTGAGACTTGATTCTTTTTCTTTGATAAATTGAATGATTCTGGGGCAAAATGTCGTAATTGCATTTGCTTCTTTTACTTGTTATAACTCTAAAACTATAGAAGATAACATAGACATATTATACATCGTTGGAATTGACATCCAAAGAGCTAATTATTTATGCTATTTTTGAACCGGTTAAATCGGTTTAAACGGTTTAAAAACCGGTTCAAAGTTGAAAAACTAAGAAATTGAATATCTTTTTCAATACTTAATCAAAGGCTTTGCTTTTTAGCTCATTTTGTAGCCTTTAGAAATGCTCACAACTTGTTGGAGCTAGATTTTTGATTGTCGACCTGTGACGTCATTTATGAGCTATTTATGTTGAAACTTTTACAGCTTATTTCTCAGCAACTACATATGATACAATAACGATATATATCTTAAAAATTTCCAATTTTCCTATAAATTAATGAACATTAAAAATTAGTGGGATTTGTGAATAAGTTTTGTCAAAAAATGATAAAACCTTGAAACATTAAAACCCTTATGAACCTATTTTACCTTTATTTGATATTTATCTTTCAGATATGGAAAAAATTCTTATCACAATAAAAAGAGCTTTTAATTTCCTTTGAAATGATATGTAACATGCTTGGGGTTTATCAGTAAATGACGTCTAAAATTTTTTTATTGTTTTTTAATGATTTTTGTACCTATTTCTCACTATTTCTATTTAATTTTAGTCTTCTATTCCACTTTCTTCTATTTTTTCACATTTTTCATCGAAATAAAAGTAAATATTGCCATTTCATCAAAAAATACTAATGATTTATTAAGTAGCAAAACTTCAATAACAAATAGTTGAATGCACATTTAATAAATCATTAGTATTTTTTGATGAAATGGCAATATTTACTTTTATTTCGATGAAAAATGTGAAAAAATAGAAGAAAGTGGAATAGAAGACTAAAATTAAATAGAAATAGTGAGAAATAGGTACAAAAATCATTAAAAAACAATAAAAAAATTTTAGACGTCATTTACTGATAAACCCCAAGCATGTTACATATCATTTCAAAGGAAATTAAAAGCTCTTTTTATTGTGATAAGAATTTTTTCCATATCTGAAAGATAAATATCAAATAAAGGTAAAATAGGTTCATAAGGGTTTTAATGTTTTAAGGTTTTATCATTTTTTGACAAAACTTATTCACAAATCCCACTAATTTTTAATGTTCATTAATTTATAGGAAAATTGGAAATTTTTAAGATATATATCGTTATTGTATCATATGTAGTTGCTGAGAAATAAGCTGTCAAAGTTTCAACATAAATAGCTCATAAATGACGTCACAGGTCGACAATCAAAAATCTAGCTCCAACAAGTTGTGAGCATTTCTAAAGGCTACAAAATGAGCTAAAAAGCAAAGCCTTTGATTAAGTATTAAAAAAGATATTCAATTTCTTAGTTTTTCAACTTTGAACCGGTTTTTAAACCGTTTAAACCGATTGAACCGGTTCAAAAATAGCATAATTAATTAGCTCTTTGGATGTCAATTCCAACGATGTATAATATGTCTATGTTATCTTCTATAGTTTTAGAGTTATAACAAGTAAAAGAACAAAATGCAATTACGACATTTTTCCCCAGAATCATTCAATTGGAAAGCATAATCGATGCACATATGTGAAGTCAATTCATGCTTAATAGTTCCAGCAGAACGTTCTTCCATTTCGTTCTCCTTTTTTGACAAAACTGTATTGATAGGAGAAAGAGAAGTGATGAAATTAACGCCAACTTCTGCTAAACGTGGAGCTATATTTTGTCTACAATGAACTGAGTCTGTAAAGACTACAGCCTTGACTATTTCATTAAATTGTTCTTCAAACTTTTTCAGGAGTGCCTATTAAAATAACGAATTTTAAAATTTCGAAACTTCATTTTTACGAACTCACATTTTTACGACCCACAATGATTCAGATTCAGAAAAAATGTTCAAAAATTCCTTGTGCACAATATTTTTTCGACACATTAGAAAATTGAAAGTTTTTGTTAATTTCTCTTGATTTGAATCTTTTAGCATCTTCTAGATAATGTTTTCGTTCATTGCTCAAAGAATCAGTCCTTAAAATAAAGGATAAACATGATTTTTTACCAAAACTTTGTAAAAGTTTATCAAAAAATATTGAGCATGATCAAATTTTGTATGAAAATTTGTGTAAACTTTGATCGCAAATATCTCGAAAACGGCATCAAACGGCATGTCCTCAGTAATATGGGAGATAGATTCAAGCTTAATTAATTGATTTATATAGGTTTCAGAGAGGTCTTTGGAAGACTTTTTAACTTATGAATAGTTTAAGTTGTGTAAAAATACTCAGATTTCAATTCCATTTTTAAGGCTTAATAAGCAGATTTTTATTGAGTTGGTGATTTTAATATGTAAAGCAAAGCTTAAATTAGCTAGCAACTTCTTCCAAGGCGTCCAAATAACAACTTAAAGTAGAAAAGATCATATTTTTTTTTCATACACAAATTGTAAACAAATTTTGAGTGTGATTAAATTAATGATTTCTGGAGTTAGACATCAAATTGAGACGAGATATTTTCATAGGATATGCCTCAAGTTAAGATCTTTAATCTGGCATTTAAAAGACAAAGTTTAATTAACATGAAATTTTTGAATTTTTGAACATTTTTTTCGATTCTGAATCATTGTGCGACCATATCATTTTTACGAAAAATTATTTTTTCGACTTTTTTATAAATTTTAAATTTTGAAATGTCGTTAATTTCATCACGTGTTCTCTTCAATAATAAATCTGCAAAAAAAAGATTTATAGAACAAACGTTTTTAAATGTATGGAATTAAAACATATTTTTTATTCGTTACAATTACAATTAAGCTTTTAAATCATTTTTGACTACTTGCCTTTATTAAGATTAATAGCCTTTAATCTTTCAACTCGTGGCACGGATTGTCGACGGTTCAGGATTGATTTAATGGAATTCTCTGTCTTTTAAAAACCTGGCATTCTATACTTTTGTGGCTTTCCAGCCAAATATTTGTCGATATAAATTTCGATGGACACAAATTCTTTCCATTGAAACATTAAAGGCTATTGCAGTAGTCAAAAGTGATTTAAGAGCTTAATTGCGTTTATTGCTCCTTTTAACATACACATGTAGTCCATAAAATGTGATATTGAAAAAAAAATACGTTTTAATTCCATACATTTAAAAACATTTGTTCTATAAATCTTTTTTTTGCAGATTTATTATTGAAGAGAACACGTGATGAAATTAACGACATTTCAAAATTTAAAATTTATAAAGAAAGTCGAAAAAATAATTTTTCGTAAAAATGATATGATCGTAAAAATGAAGTGTTCGTAAAAATGAAGTTTCGAAATTTTAAAATTCGTTATTTTAATAGGCACTCCTTTTTCAGTTGTTATTTTTCAAATATTTTTTGACCGTTATTTTTCAAATATTTTTTGACCGTTAAATTCAAAAGGTTCATCAGTCAGTTCTCCACTAGTTTTGTCTATTTTGCGAAGCTTTCCTTCCTAAACATGTTATTGACGATGTTTTTAACTAGATTAATGTTTAATTACCGTACTTACAGCATTAAAGGCGTATCCAAATTGATTTTTTAATTTACGCGCACTTGTCTTCAACTCCATTTTGTATGAATAAATAACCGTTAATCTTTATTTTAAAAAATTCAACTTTGAGCTGTGAATATTCGAAAATTGAACTTTATTAAGATTTGAATTTTTAATGACTGTTAATTACAGCTATGAGCGACAAGCAATTTTGACTTGGTTCTCGAAAGATAAAAAAACATCCCCAATGACAAATATGGTAAGAATGTCAATGAATTATTGAAGGTAAACTCATGTTTATAATTTCTCTATAATTATAGGAACTGACAACAACGGAAGTAATGTCAAATGAAAAGCTGAAAATGGAAATTGAAAACTTTCTGAAGAAGCTTGAGATAGATCCTTTTGAATAAAGACATAAAGACATTCATTCTATTAAATTAAACTAGGGTTGGGCAGAATCGTATTCGAATATATTCGAATATAATAAACATAAATGTGCGCATATATTCGAATATATATTCGAATATACATAATTCAAAAAATAACCGTTATTAATCGTGATTTTTTTTTTAATAAATGTTTAACAATTAATTAAATAACTTACAACTAAAATATCGACGTATTTGGCTAGAGAAAGTACTTCCATTGCTTTTTCATTAAAATTAGATCTATTTTAGTAATTGTTTAACATGATTTTTTCGAGTGTTTTGTACTTTCCCGAAAAGCAAAATAAAGAATAACCGTTATTACGAATTACAAATTTACCAATGTTCATTTTTACGAAAATTTTTATGGTAAAAACTTATAGGATATAATTTGAATCTCAAAAAACCGTTGGTTAAATCAAACATTAAAAGACAATTTACATCAATTTCATCATTTAAATGCGAATAGATATGATATAATAATTATTATAAGATGAAGGATTAATAGAACTACAAAAAGAATTGCATTTATTTAAATGTGTAATATTTTTTCTTGTTTTATGAGTAATTCCATGAGAAAATTTTATAGCAAAATAAAATTTTTATAGAAAAAATATTTCACATTTAAAAAAATGCAAATCTTTTTTTCAGTTCTATTAATCCTTCATCTTTTAATAATTATTTTATCATATCTAATCGCATTTAAATGATTAAATTACTTTTAACTGTCTCAATATTTGATTTTATCCAACGGTTTTTTGAGATTCAAATTATATCCTATAAGTTTTTACCATAAAAATTTTCGTAAAAAATGAACATTCGTAAATTTGAAAATTCGTAAAAATTGTTTTTCGTTATTTTGCTTTTCGGGAAAATACAAAACACTCGATTTTTTCAATTGAAAAAATTTGATATCAAAGAATATTTGAAGTCGCCTTTTAAAAAATTTTAACGGTCAATAAATATTTGAAAATTTTCCCGCTAGGAGTTGCACTACGAAAACATTAGTTATAGTTTAATTACATAATTTGTTCCAATGAATTTCCATATAGAAAAAGTTTTTCATTTAACGGTCTTTTGAGATTCAAATTTTCTAACAGTCAGTAAGTTTTTGAAAGCTTTTTGCCAAAGGATACACACAAAATCATTAATTATAGCATATTTAACAATTTAATATCTTTAATTCTCATATATGAATTGTTTATCATTTACAAATTACAGGCAAGTTGAAAAATGCTAATCAACAAATAACGTATTTTTTCATTTTTGAATTTCTAATATTCGAATATTTTTTTGTTCATATTCGAATATATTCGAATATATTCGAATATTTGCCCAACCCTAAATTAAACTACTACATTCGATTAGCAATTGCAGAATCATGCACATTTTATTACAAGCCTTAATTTCTCTCATGTGTTATTGGGTTTTAAAAAAAGACATTTATTATATCAATTTATTTACTTTAATAAAACATATTAACTAGTTGGTAAACGCTTGCTAGAATAGTTTAATCCTGTTATTAATGATTTTAAAATAAATGACTGTTAAAAACGAACTTTTCAAATTTGAATTATGCGAATCGCACTTTTTTACCGAAATTTTTTTGCTCGTGCTGAATTTGTAAACACAGAAAATTCAAGAAAATTAAAATCATTAAAATCTAGTTAAATTAACAGTTTAAATGACTATGGATATCATTAAAACAATCGAGGATGACGAGGAAATTGAGAATTTATCGGAAGATTCTGATGTTGAGGTCGAAGTAAGTGAAATAAACAATAATTTAATAAACACGTGAGTATTTATACTTTAATTTATGTTTTTCCTTAGTATCAACCAACAAAACAGAAGACACAAAAGAAAAAGTACTTTGAGGAAGGCTTCAAGTTCGTCTCTACAGCATCCGATTATAATAAAGATACATGGGATGATTTAATGAAATTTGTCAAGAAAAGAACTCGCGGTAAAGTTGAAGACAAGATTGCTAAAGTCATTAAATCCAGAAAGAATGATGTGCAGAATGAATTGGATGATAGCAGTGACAGCGATGGAAATGACAATAATGATGAAATAGACTTGTCTGAGGATGAATTAAAGCACGATAATTTGCGTATAAAGCAGAAAAAAGGCAAGAAACGGAAGCTGCTTGTTGAAGACGAGATTATTGATGACGAGCAGGAGAAAATGGAATTTGATGAACAGATTGAAGCTACTGGAGACATGAATTCATTCTATCAAATGAACCTTTCTCGTCCACTTATGAAAGCTATTGGAATTTTAGGATTTACGCATCCCACTCCTATCCAATCGTCCACAATACCTGTTGCACTTCTTGGACGTGACATTTGCGGTTGTGCAGCTACTGGAACAGGTAAGCTATTTATGATGCTGGGTTATAAGTCCAGAGATTATAAGTCCAGGTACAAAAATCGTGCACAGAAAATTATAAGTCCAGAAAATCAAAGTCAATAAAGGTTTATAAGTCCAGATATAAATTGCACCTGGACTTAAAAACCTCACGTGCAGTTCATAAGTCCAGGTACAAATACAGCTGGAATTATAAACTGCACGAGAGGTTTTTAAGTCCAGGTACATTTTATATCTGGACTTATAAACCTTACGTGTGGTTTATAATTCCAGAAAATTTATAAATTTTACTTATAAACTCCTAGTGCGATTATAAGTCCAGATACATTTTTCTGGACTTATAGTCCTTGAAAATTATTTGTGAAACTATTTCAATTTTTTCCTTCAAAGCAATTCTACACATTAACTTTTAAAAAATTGACACAAAGAATTCGCTTTTCTTTGATTTTTTTCTTCTAAAATACCTTATATATCCTTTTCATCTGTTGTATTTCATTAAAATAATTGCAAATAACTTATTAAGAATATCTTTAATGCTTTATTTACGGAAAAATTCTTTAGACAAAAATCGAATTTTCTTCAGCATCCGTAGAATTGAATGTCAAAGAAACTTTTTTTATGTAATATCATACACATACTAAATTATAATTATTTAAACGTCTTCCAAATCATTGTTTAAATTAAATTTTAAGGAAGTTTTAGAAGATAAATCAATTCTTCTGATGTAAATTTACGTCTCCGAAAAACTTCAACTTTTATTTTCCTAATACGTTTTAAAAAATGATTTTTTGAAATTAAAATTTTGTTTTATATAACTTGGCGAGTCAGCTAAGCTTCGCTCAGCATATGGTTGAGATTTAAAGCTTAACAAACACTCTATAGTGTTTTTTTTAAAAAAAATTTTATAATCCAAATTTTAATTTTATAAAAATAACACTAAACTTTGATTTTTAAAAATTCGTAAGAAAAAAAAGTTTTTTTTGCATTTTCTGAAGCAACGGCAGTTTCAACCTTGCCCAAAAAACAGTAAAGCTCTTCTATGATGACACGCTATTGAGATTTCTTGCTGATTAACTTGCATACTTGTTTGCTTTCTTACTTGCTTACACTTACTTTCGTAAGAAAGAAATTATTGGTAATTAAGGTAAAACTTGATTTTTTAATTTCATTTTCTTACGGATTTGGCTTAAGCGTTGGTATATTACATTAGTTGCATTAAAATTATTCATTTTTCTGTTAATTGGGTGTCTTTCAAGTCAATTTAAGTATGCAGAATCATAGAAGATGATAGAATGAAAAAGCGAGATTGTTTGCCTCCAGTCAAAAAAATGTCATCCATCTTGGATTTTCTGATTGACTTATTTCAAGTATGAGCTGCTACATTTGGGCGATTCTCATACGATTCCAGAACGATGGAATTTTTCAAAATGAGCTTTTATAATCCGTTGTCAATTATGCTTACATCATAAATATATATTCTGCAATTTCTTTCAATGTAGAATGATTTGAAATTTTAAATTTTTCATCAATAATAATTTACTTTTATTATAAATGATAAAAATTTGTCAAAAGTGTAGCTTGAAAGTTCAGAATTTAAGCTCTTGCGTTGCTTTGTGACATAAAGTTAACGTTCGGAGAATCGATTTTTCTCGATAATTAAGCTGTTTTCCTGGAGCAAAAATATTGTAAAACAGATGTTAATCTATCATTAAGTGTACATTTAATGCTGCAAAGATGAGTATTTGATACAACATTTTTGAAACCCCTGTTGAAACTTTTACAAAATTCTATTTTTGGTCACAAAGCAACGGGCCGAAGAATTGAAATATATTAATAATTAGAACAATTCAAGCTTGAAAGCTTGTAAGGTTTTGTGAAAAATTTGACAATAAATTCATTTGAATTCAAAATTTTTGCAATTTTTCCTCCAGAGAATCGCCCATTTAGGATTCAGTAAATATTAGTGATGAAGATTTTTAATGATGCTAAATTTTAAGGCACAAAAGTTCAATAACAGAGACTCAAAAAAATTTGAAATCCTTGTTAATTAATGCCCAATATTAAAAATTGTCATAACGATAAATCACAAAACGATAATAAAGAAAAGAAAATTTAAATAGTTTCACAAATAATTTTCAAGGACTATAAGTCCATCTGGACTTATAATCGCACTAGGAGTTTATAAGTAAAATTTATAAATTTTCTGGAATTATAAACCACACGTAAGGTTTATAAGTCCAGATATAAAATGTACCTGGACTTAAAAACTTCTCGTGCAGTTTATAATTCCAGCTGTATTTGTACCTGGACTTATGAACTGCACGTGAGGTTTTTAAGTCCAGGTGCAATTTATATCTGGACTTATAAACCTTTATTGACTTTGATTTTCTGGACTTATAATCTCTGGACTTATAGTTTCTGGACTTATAACCTAGCATCGCTATTTATTATTTAATTACTTTATCGACTTTAATTTTAAATTATTCATTTTATAGGTAAAACTGCTGCCTATATGTTGCCAACGATTGAAAGATTGTTGTATAAACCACTTACTGCGGAATCAGTAACTAGAGTTTTAGTGCTTGTTCCAACTCGTGAGTTAGGTGCTCAAGTTTATCAAGTCACAAAACAATTGTGTCAATATTCAAACATTGATATTGGATTAGCTATTGGTGGATTGGATGTAAAGGCTCAAGAAAGTGTTTTAAGAACTAATCCAGATATCGTCATTGCTACGCCTGGTCGATTGATTGATCACATTAAGAATACGCCGAGTTTTGCCCTTGATTCTATTGAGGTGAGTTATGCTGTAATTTTAGAACTAGACTAATAGCATTATGATGACTATCCTTGCGCTCTGAAGCACAACTTGTGTGTTAGAGGATGTAATTTTGATTCGTTTAAAACGAAAATCCTGACAATTTCATCATTATACACTTAATTAACGTTTAAGCTTTCTCAAACTAATGTATATAAAAAATGACAATTTCCAGGTTTTAATTCTCGACGAAGCTGATCGTATGCTGGATGAATATTTTGCTGAACAGATGAAGGAAATTGTCAATAGTTGTGCCAAGACTAGACAAACAATGCTGTTTTCAGCTACGATGACAGAACAAGTCAAGGATTTAGCTGCTGTGTCTTTAAATAAGCCAGTTAAAATTTTCGTTAATAATAATCAAACTGTAGCATTTAATTTGCGTCAAGAGTTTATAAGAATTCGTGATGGCAAGGAAGGAGATCGTGAACCAATTTTGGCAGCATTAATATGCAGAACTTTTCATGATCATTGCATGATTTTTGTTCAGACAAAGAAGACAGCACATCGTTTGAGAATTATTCTTGGACTTTTGGGAATTAAAATTGGCGAATTGCATGGTGATTTGTCACAAGCTCAACGTTTGGAGTCACTTAAACAATTTAAAGATGAGCAAATTGATGTTTTAGTTGCAACTGACGTAGCTGCAAGAGGTTTAGATATTTCTGGAGTAAAGACAGTCATCAATTTTGTTATGCCAATTAGTTTAGAGCATTATATCCATAGAGTGGGTCGTACAGCAAGAGCAGGTAAAGCTGGTATTTCAGTGTCATTAGCAGGCGAACAAGAAAGAAAAATTGTTAAGGATATCATTAAAAATGCTGTAAATCCAGTCAAGAATCGTATGATTCCACCAGAAATTATTGACAAATATAGAAAAAAGTTATTGGCACTCGAATCAGAAATCGTTAAAGTTTATGAAGAAGAACGTGCTGAAAAAGAGTTGGCTCAAACTGAACAGCAATTAAGTAAAACTCAGAAGAAATTAGCAGCAAATAAATCAGATGGAGATCCCCAAAAGCGTGAGTGGTTCCAAACACATCGACAGCGAATGGAAGAAAAAGAAAGGTTGTCAATTAATCCAAAAGATCCTGAAACTAAAGGCAAAAATAAGCAAAAGAAACGAAAACGTGGCGAGGACGATGAAAGTGATCTTGAGGATTATGCCTTTAAAAAACGTAATATTGAAGATAAGCTTAAAAAGGAAAAGAAACCATTAGCAAAATCAGCCAGAGCTCTATTACGTGAACGAGCAACAAAGGATTTAGAAAAGGCTTCATTAACTCGAGCAAAAATGTCAAAATCACAACATAAGATGACAAAATTGCGAACTGTTGAAGACGTATCATCATTCAAAAAGGACAAACCATTTGTTAAACCGAAAAAGAGCACTTCAAAGTTCAATTTAGACATGGATACAAGCAAGAAAGGCGTAAAGAAATTGAGATATGATGCCAGCAAGCAACAGAAGACTAAAACCTTCAATAAAGGCAAAATGAATAAGGGTAAACCCAAGACGAGTCAGGAGAAAGTTAAGAATCGAGCTGGACTTAATAAACAAAATAAAGGAAAAGTGTTTGGACGTCCAAAGCAGAAGAGAAACAAGTAAAACAGAATTATTGAATTATTTTTTTATGTAAAATTTTAACGAAAAATAAAATTTTGAAAATAAAATATTTGAATTTATAAAAATTCGTTATTTCAATTTACAGAGGTTGCTGTTCATGTAGATTGAACTAGTTCAGCAAAATTTCAGTTTTCAACACAAAACTTTTAAAATCAAATATAATTAAGTGAATTCAAGATGAATATGAAAATGCCAAGCTTCAACATGAAGGACCTGATGCACCAGGCAGGAAACACAATATCGACACAAGTTTCACGAGTTGTTCAAGTAAGAAATTGACATTTTTTCTCAATCATAATTATTTATTGATTTTATCTGTTCATGTTTTCATTTGATTCTTAGCTCACAGAAGAGAAGCTTAATCTTACTAATGATAAAACGGAATATGATAGCAATTTTGAAGCACTTCTTGAACGCCAAGAGGCTACAAAGAATTTAACTGAGAAAATTGTAAAAGATACAGAAGCACTTTTAGTAAGTTTAACTTATGCTGCATAAATGATCCAGACAAGTATTAATGAATGACATTTCTAGGTTCCAAATCCTGGTAATCGTGTCGAAGACTTTATATTCGAAAAGATTGAAAAGAAGAAGCCACAACGTTTATCAAATATTGAACATTTGGGACTTGATTTGATTGAATCTGGTGGTACTTTTGGAAGTGACGGTGCTTATGGCAGTGCTCTCATAAAGACAGGTCAAGCTGAACAGAGACTGGGTCAATGCGAGCGAGATTTCATTGCAAATACTGGAATTTGCTTCATTCAGCCATTAAAAAAGTTCCTGGATGGTGAAATGCGAACAATAACTAAGGAAAGAGGCGTCTTGGAGGCAAAACGATTAGACTTGGATGCTGCAAAGTCACGTGTCAGAAAGGCTCGATCATTAATTGGAACACAATCTGTGAGTAACACTTGCGGATACTTTTATTAAAAGGGCAAGATCAAAAATGAATTGTTCGTGACGCTTAGCAATAATTTACAATTTTTGAATCAATAATGCGAAATATGTATTTAAGACTTGTGTTTTTCTTAAAGTCTTTGCCAAGACCTATATTTTAGTGTATAACAAGCATCTCTTAGACATTGTATTATAATTAAAAATTAATTTAAAGTGCTAAGCGTCACGAACAATTTTGAGGGAATTCGATTTTACACCATGTTGCTAATGCAATATCTCTGCAACTGATTCACCAATCTTAAAAATTCTTTCACTGAGTAATTAAATGATCAGAATAGTGAATTACTTGCATAAAATTATTAATATGGCGGTATTTTAAGTTAGCTTAATTAATGTTTTAAATGTTTAGGTTGAAATTTCTATATGAAGGAAACATCTTAATAACTAGCTTTCAATACAAAAAAGCTAGCAAATATGACTGTCTTTAAGTTTATAAAAGAAAATTTTAAGTTCTACTTTAATTAACAAAGTTACAGTGAGTTTAAGAAAACTTCTATTAAACCATTACTGTTTTATTATTTTAATGATCTCTCAATTTGAAACTATAACTTTGAAACTATGACTATTTATGGAAAGTCAAGAAAATCATAAAAGTTTAAATAATTAAACCAAAATATTTGTAACGGCTTTGAAAAATTCAAATATTGTGTGAAATCATGAGCAACACAGAGCAAAACATGTTGCTCAATTGAAATTACAATGTTTTTAAGTGAGTGTTTTGTATTTTCCCGAAAAGCAAAATAACGAAAAACAATTTTTATGAATTCTCAAATTTACGAATGTTCATTTTTACGAAAATTTTTATGGTAAAAACTTATAGGATATAATTTGAATCTCAAAAAACCGTTGGATAAAATCAAATATTGAGACAGTTAAAAGTAATTTAATCATTTAAATGCGATTAGATATGATAAAATAATTATTAAAAGATGAAGGATTAATAGAACTGAAAAAAAAATTTGCATTTATTTAAATGTGAAATATTTTTTCTATAAAATTTTTATTTTGCTATAAAATTTTCTCATGGAATTACTCATAAAACAAGAAAAAATATTACACATTTAAATAAATGCAATTCTTTTTGTAGTTCTATTAATCCTTCATCTTATAATAATTATTATATCATATCTATTCGCATTTAAATGATGAAATTGATGTAAATTGTCTTTTAATGTTTGATTTAACCAACGGTTTTTTGAGATTCAAATTATATCCTATAAGTTTTTACCATAAAAATTTTCGTAAAAATGAACATTCGTAAATTTGTAATTCGTAATAACGGTTATTCGTTATTTTGCTTTTCGGGAAAGTACAAAACACTCTTTTTAAGTTAATTTAATTCGATTTTAAGCATTTTCAACATACAATTACAATACACAATGACTTTTTAATTATGGGCGATTCTACGAATGAATTTTTCTACAAATTTGTCTCCAAATCTATATTTCTCTTTATCAGTTGCATTACTCCCCATGTTTCATGTATTTAATAGTAGATTTTACTACGATATCTACATATTGTTCTCACCCAAACATATTAAAAATGGTTAATTAAAGAATTATTTACATTCTACGAAAAATTATTCTGTTTCATATAAATTTTTTCGCCCAAATTTCCAAAATACTTTCATTAATATCTTTAAGTTGGTAAAATTTCCAATAATACTAAGTATACAAAGTTATAGCTTAAAGTAAAAGCTTCAAAACGATGTCAAAATCATATTTTTGGAAGCCTTAATTAAGCTGCAATTTGGATTCGACGAAAAATTAAGTAATTTGAGTGCAGATGTAATCAAAATTCACAGTTTAACCAATAGAAAAGGAAATGAGAATTAGATTTTTGAAAAACTATGCACAAGTGAAAATAAAATAATTAAAAAATTTCATGCAATTGACACGGATTATTTTCATGAAACCTTTTCATAGAATTGCCCTTATTTAAAAAGTGTTTTCGGTCAACTAGAGTTGGTATTTTTGCTGAAAAAGGAATTTTTTCAACAAGTTGATTTTTTGTTAAAATAACTAAATCTATTGATTTTTATTAAGCTTTAGTCTGATGTTATGATAGAAAATATACAACTTTTGTCAAGGACTTGAACATTTAGCTTGCTTTTTTCTTGAAGAAAAATCAATTTCAAATTTGTTAATTAAGCTAACTTATTAAACCGCCATTTTAAAAAATGAAATTAAAAGTTAAACTTTCTGAAATTTGCTTTCGACCTGTGAAAAAATCATACAAATTGGATGCTTGGAAGCAGAGAAATCAGCATTTGAAGATTTTTTCCCTTTTTTTCTGATCTTGCCCAAAATTAATTCCCATTACTAATAATGTCATATCTTGTCATTTAAATGCTGTCTATGGAAATACTTTATTAATTTATTTATCGTACTAACAAAACATTCATTTGGTGTGTGGGTTGTGGGCACAATAATATAATTGTAAAAAAATAGAAGGATGGATTAAGTCCTGAACAGTCTCTCGAACAGGTACAAAGTTCTATAGCTATTTTAAGAATTAATTTTATGCATGAGTTACTCTTGTGGGAATTACTAATGTATTTTATTGTATATCTAGGCTGAACGAGAGCTCCGAGTAGCACAAAGTGAATTCGATCGTCAGCAGGAAATAACGAAATTATTATTGGAAGGTCTCGGATCAACTCAATCGGCACATTTACGATATCTGCACGCATTCGTTGAGTCTCAAGTGAGATATTTTGCACAGTGCAATAAAATCATGAACGAACTACAAAAGGAACTGGCAAGGTGAGTTTAGAACATATTGAACATATATTGACTAATTTATTTTATGTTGTGAGTGCCTTGATGTTCAAATTTTAATATAAGTCAATTAAATGTGGAATGATTAAATCCCTTAATTCTAACATAACAAAAAAAAAGATGAAATAATATTAAATTAATCTACGCTTGACCCTTGCTGTCCATTAATTATCATTTGACTATTTACACTACTTTATAGTTTATTTACAATCTTATTGTCTGAGTTTCTTTTAAATTATGACTATCCATTCGAAAACTACTAACTTAATTACAGCACACGTCCAAGCACACCAAGATTGCGAATAAACAGTGAAGACGTCGACATTGTTGATAGCATTGAAGATAACTGGGGCTTTGAAAACTTTGCCACCCATATTGAGACTGTTAATATCACAAAAGTTTAATACACACATGAATAATGATCCCCCCTACGCAATGGAAACTTACTTCCCTCAGAAAAATCCTTATCACACTATACATTTTTATTTTTTATCTGCTCTACTTCTTGTTTTCTCTTTCTTAATTAATCATCTTCTCATTGCTTGTTAGCTTATTGAGCTTAGTCATACGTACATAATTTATAGCATTTTTTGTTTTTGTTTTTTATTGTTTTTTTTTTCTATGATCGGCAAAGCAGGAAATTAGATTGTTGAAATTGCAATAAAATGTTTAAAATTTATGCTCTAATGGATTGCTAAAGCACATTTTTGTCTGCTGACATTTTCATTCCATTTTTAACGGCTTTTTGGATTTTTAATTTAATAACGGATTTCAAAATTTTGAATCTTGTGCTTTCAAAAACTTAAGTCTAAAAAACCGTTTTTCTGAAATTCAAATAAAATCGCTTAGAATTTTAATCTTAAGATTAAAAATAAATCCCTCGAATTAAGCAATAAGAATGCTCCAAAATGTGCTTGGGATTGTGCAATTTTAAATTTTCTGCTGCTTGCCGGAATTGATTGACCTAAATATCTTTTTAAATCATAAGACTTATTGATAATGCTTTTAGAATAACACAAAACGGTAGATTAGACAGTTACTTATTATTAGAAATAGTAAATGCAGTGAGTTTATTTTGTAATTGACTATGCTTATTGGAAAATAATGTTCAAGAAAATTTTGTGATCGATTATGCTTATTACGGGCTTATACACATAACTTTTTGACACGATAAAAAACAGAATCATATCAACAAAGAAATAGTTGTCAAGTTTTTAATGTTAGGGAAATTTTCATGACTTTATTCGTCTACAAAAACCTTACTTAATGTATACTAAATTACTTAAATAATAACATGAAGATAAAACTTAATTAATGCACATGAAAAAAAAATGAGAAGAATATCAAAATTGTATCAAACAATTTTACCAAATTTGTATAGTTTGGGAGGAAGTGATGCTCCAAAGTACGAAATTGTCGTCACAGACGAAGAGGCTGACTTACATCGAAACATCAATTTGCAGCCAGAAGGATTGCACTATCAACGAGCACGTGTCTTATGCTCATATGATGCTAAAGACAACTCGGAATTGAATCTCGTCGCTAATGAGGTGAGTTTTGAATTTTCTTAAAATTTCAAAATATTTATCGGTTATTTTTCAAATTAAGTAAAGTTTTCAAAAAAAGACGCAACCTGATCAAATTTTATTCGCTACCTCTATTATTTCAAATTTTCAAAAACCGTTTAATGTCATGCCTTTTCATTTTAATTTCAGGTAATTTTTGTGGCAGAATGTACACCACCACATAGTGTAAGTTAAAATACAGCATTTTGACTTTATAAAGCTCTAATTTAAATTATTTATTGCAGGACTACATGCACGGTAAGCAAGGTCTATTGAAGGGTCTTGTACCAAAGGCATTTCTCGAAATTCTGGATGATTAAGTCACTCCAGATGACAGCTAACTCCAAAGTTATTAATTACTCTCAATTAAACATATATGTTTTATATATTTGTTCAGATCTAGTATTGCTTTGTTACAAACGATATGTTGAAAAGACAATTTTTTATATTTTATAAGTTTTTGAGCATAAAGGATGAGCTCAATCTGATTACCTGATTAATTTATTTGTATGAAATAATTTAAATATTAATTTTATGTTTTTGCCATTTTAAATTAATGTTGTGGGTTGAATTCACTAAAATCTATGTAGAACAGGAGTTATTCACAAATTACGGCTATCAAAAGTTCGAAGCTAGCTCAAATAATTAGCTTACGGTATTTAACGCTCGTTTGAAATTTGAATTTCAAAACCACACAAATGTTTTATAAAATTGACTATTGTACTGTTTTGAAACTTTATAACAGACGAAATTTTTAGATGACTATTGAATTCAGCCTATTAATACCTAGAATACGAATATAAGTTGATACAACAAAGCAGGGGCGTAGCCAGAAAATTTTTAAGGGGGGGGGGCCATTTTCGAAAATTAAGAAACCGTTATTTTGTATCCTTAAATCTATATTCATTCTTCATAAGTTTAAATATTGAATTCATTATTCATACATTAAATTTAATTTTTCGTGCTGATTTTGAAATTTCTTTCATCATTTCCTCTACATTAACTGGTTCTTCTCTATAAATACTTAATAAAACAATTATCAGATTTTCGTAGGGGGGGCCCGGGCCCCCTATGGTCCCCCCCCCCTGGCTACGCCCCTGCAACAAAGAACGAAAAAAATTCAGTGCAATTAAGAGATGTTCTATATGTGCAAATTGATTGCCGCTAAAAAATTATATCAATTACTTACTCTACTCTCAATGAATATTTATGATAAGCAAGAAAAGTTTATTTTTTTTGGAAAAAAAATTAAAATCTCTCCATGTAGTCTTCTTATTCACTGTTAAAAATTTTGCAAATTCCGACGAAATTCTCATTTTTCGAATCCTTGCCAATACTCCACAGCACCGTTTCCAATGACTTTAATTTTTGCTGCATTCCTCAATAAGTGATTTGGGGTCTTCGGTTTTAATAAATTGTTTGGCAGAGGAATTGAACTTTTTTGGATTTAAAAGTCTTAAAAATGAATAAATTATTCAAACCGAGGACTCCCTTTTATTAGAATAATCTACCGAAAAACAAAGAACTTACCGAACATACCATAATGTACCTTACATTTATAAAAAGTCCCTCAAAAAAAAATACTTTATTGCAAAACTGCCATAGAAAGCAAGTGTGTCGCATAGTTGCGGATCATAGGGCAGAAAAAGGAACTATTATGAGATGAAATTTGATGACAAATAATTTAGGACATTAAGGATGAAGTAGATTATGAGAGTAATAATAGAAATATATAAATTATTCTGCAAATTCGTTAAAATTTTAAAGAAAACAAAAAAGTTTTAATGCTTTGGTGACTCTAAGAATTGTTTTATTAAAATTATACTGAAGCCAATTCCATTCCTTACTCCACTTATTCATAATAACACTATTAATCTAATTGTGTGAACTTTTTTCATAAGGAATTTTAATGTCTTTAAAGCCGGAATCTGTGCAATGTCATTCACAAATTGCGTCCATCAATGAGCGAAAAATCTCAGAGCTTAATAATTCTCTAACCGTTAAAGTTTTGAATTTCAAAACCATACAAATGCAACTGAAAAATGTAAGCTGTTGTATGGTGTTGATTTGAAAATTTAAAAACTTAATTTTTAAAACCATTCAATTGTTTATTGGCTGTTGTAGGGTTCTAGAGCATTTGAATTTTAACTTTTGAAGGACGTCATTTTTGAATGATTATCCAAACTAAAGTGCTGAATTAAATTGACTCAGATTCACTTTTCTCAAAAAAAAAAAAAAAAAATACTATAATTCAAGTGTGATTCACGCGTTTTTAACTATATGACTTGTGGTAATAATTTTTATTGATTCTTTGTTTAACTTTTTATAGAATATATACTCAAAACTTCCTTTCAATACTATCTATTTAAATTCAAAATTTACTAAGATATAAAAAATTATATAAACATTTCAAAGGATTAAGAGAAACATGTTTAATGAAACTTATAAAAACATCAAAAGAATGAACGAACAAAATAGAAATGTTAAATATATTAATAAAATGTTGAAATCAAGTAACTGTTGAGTCTTATTTCTTGAAATCCACAGATATTATTAATATTCCTCTCCAAAATCTTCAGCAACATCATCATCATATAAATCGCCAGCAACCTCTTCATAGTCCTTTTCTAAAGATGCCAAATTTTCGCGTGCTTCTGTAAATTCACCTTCTTCCATTCCTTCACCAACAAACCAATGAACAAAAGCTCGTTTATTATACATTAAATCAAATTTCTGATCTAGACGTGTCCATGCTTCAGAAATTGATGTAGAATTAGCTAGCATGCAAACAGCTCTTGATGTATTTAACATATCACCGCCAGGTATAAAGCACGGCTTAGATTCATTAACACCAATTTTAAAACCTGTTGGAGACCATTCAACAAATGTGATGTGCTTCTTTGACTTCAAAGTTGATATGGCTGCATTGACATCTTTAGGGACGATATCCCCGCGATAAAGCATACAACAGCTCATAAACTTTCCTTTTGCCAAGTCACACTTTACCATTATATTGTTGTTGTCGAAAACTTCATTTGTTATGTCCGAAATCGTGTTGGAACCTGTCAGAAAAAGCAATTATCGTGATTATCAAACTCAAACACCTAAATCTAGTCAAGAATTACCGTGAAAAGCTCGATGAGCTGAAGATAGGGGCGCAAATGAGACTAATGGGAAGTGAACTCGAGGAAAGGGAACCAGATTAGTTTGGAATTCATTCAAATCAACATTCATGTCTCCTTTATATCTCAGAGAAGCAGTTGCTGATGATACAACTTGAGCAACAAGACGATTAAGATTTGTGTAAGTTGGCAATGGAACATTCAATTTCTTTGTAGATATTTCATAAATAGCTTCATTATCAACCATAAAGGTGCAATCACTATGATCTAATGTGCTGTGTGTTGTTAATACAGCATTATAAGGCTCAACTACAGCAGAAGCAATTCTTGGTGCTGGATAAACAGCAAATTGAAGACGACATTTCTTGCCAAAATCACTAGCTAAGCGTTCAGTCAAGAGTGATGAGAATCCACTTCCAGTTCCGCCACCATATGAATTATAAATGAGAAATCCTTGAAATCCATCACAATTTTCAGATAATTTTCTAGTTTGTTCCATCACTTGCTCAATATATTCACGACCAATTGTATAATGACCTCTTGCATAGTTATTAGCTGCATCTTCCTTTCCAGTAATCATATAATTTGGATTATAAAGCGATCTATATGCTCCATTTTTAATTCTGTCAATTACACTCTGCTCGAAATCAACAAACAAGGCACGCGGAACGACTTTGCCACTTTTTGTATCACTAAAGAATGTCTTCATATTATCATCGATTTTTGTTCCAGGCATCAAAGTTCCATCTCCATTAATTCCATGCTCAAGCGTAAATAGTTCCCAGCAAGACTCACCGATTTGAACACCAGCTTGTCCAATGTGTAATGAAAGTACTTCGCGCTTTTTTGGTTGGAATGCAAACAAAAAAAAATTAATTCGAAATTACGACTTAAATTTGATACTTAATTATAGGACTTTAGCTTATTCTTACCATGCTTTATATCACAATTCTCCTTAGCTATCAATATATGTTAAAATCTATGTTAAAGTAAATAATTTTAAACAAAACTTACGAGCACGTCTCACTGACAAAATTAAACAAAAGGAGGGCAATTCTTTGGATGAGTGGAATTTGAAAAAAAATGAGCTTTCATAATCCAATGTCAATGAGTTTTGTGTCAATAAAATGTTTTCTTTAATTTCATATTACTACGAAGGAATAATAAGCCTGAATTTTCGTAGATCGTTAAGCATAATTAAATCTTTACAAGTGATCTATTGAAATGTTACGACTCACCCAAATTAAATGAAAAATTGAAAAAATATGTTTGAAAAAATTTTGTATTTTTTCACGGATTAAGACAAAAAAAAAAGCTTTTTTATAACTCGATGACACAAGGAAATTTTTCAAAGAATTGAAATATTTCAATAACTAATGACTTAAAGCACATGGAAAAGCAACCTAATTAAAGATTTTTGCCTGTTCTATAACTTAGTAAAAGTTATTGGGCCTCGACGATTTTCCTAGGATTATTGCTCAACGGAAAAATTATATTTGAAATTCATTAACACTATCTTACAAAACATCAAAAATTAAATCCTCAAATATCTTTATTATTCAATCATTATTCCCAAATATTATGATATGATTACGAAAAGTAGATGATACATTAGCTATTCTGTCTATTTTAAGAGCTTTAACATCATTATTGAGTGATATTTTCATGATTTTTTAAATTTCATTTCAATTTTTGTTTGTAAACAAACATCTCACGACAGAAAAAATTCAAAAAATTTAAAACCGTTACTTCGTTATTTCTAATTTGACTTTTTAAAATCGTTATAACTTTCTTAATTATGCTTAATTTAATTGAAAAATATGCACAATCAACTTTTTTAGCTATGACCATTCGGGAAAACATCACTTGAATGCACACAAATAGCTACAAAAAGAGTTTCGGAAAATTTCCCAAAAATTATACGTGAGTGACGCTTACTTAAAGTGATATTCTGAAGCAACTGCTTAATTTTGGGAGATAAAATTTATGTCAAAAGATGGGAAATTTCATTTCCTATTAGGAAAAGTAGTTTTGAAATTGGTCCCTTTTAAGGATTAGGAGAAAATTAAGCAATACATAGCGTCACTCACGTATAATTCATCTGCGACGAGGCCCTATTCAATGTTGATATCAAAAGTTTTCTCTAATTTTCGATTCTTCGGATGAAACTAAATGTATATAAGCCTCGACATTTTTTTAAGGATTTTTACTTAACGGAAAAAAATTATTTGAATTTTTCATTAACACTATCATACAAAACATCAAAAATTAAATTCTCAAAATTCTTAATTATTCAATCATTAATCCAAAATATTATTTTTTTTTCAAATTTCATTTTCGATTTTGTTTAACAAACAAATTACGACCGAAAAAATTCAAAAAAGTTAAAACCGTTAAAAAAAATTTAACTTAATTTTATCCATTTGGGTATGTTAATGCAGCAATTTTAAATTTTTTATAAACTCAAAAAGAACAGAATTGAATTTTGTACCTAAAAAAATTCATTTGGAGATATATCAATAAACAATAATGAAGATATAGCAAAATTCCCAAAAATTGTACGTGAGTGACGCTTAGTTAAAGTGATTTTTTCGAGTAACAGTAAACATCCATGAAGTGAATTGTACAACAATAGATGGAGATTTTAATTCTCTTTTCAAAAAAGTAACTCTTAAATTTGTCACTTTTAAGGATAAGGAGATAATCAAGAATAACAAAGCGTCACTCACGTACAATTTTTTTGTGACGAGGCCAATATGTGTTGGTGAAATCCGTTATAAATTCATTTGAATAAACTTAGTATGGAAATGTGCGGGAAGATACAAAGTCTACTAATAACGGTAAGTTGCAGGATGCATGTGATTTTACTAATTTAAAGGTCTTGAATTGATGAGCCTAAACAAGCAAGTTCAGATCAACTACCATAGATCTCAAGTTCTTGTAACTGTTAAATAATATTTGAATTTTTTGAAACCTTAGAAATTTGTAGCTTCTCAATTTGAATTTAAAATCACCGTTATATTTCAAATTTTGGATTTCAGTTTGTTTAATTTAATTGACAGATTAATTTAAATCAAAACCATTAATTTCAGATCAAAATGACATAATGTGATTTTTCAGTGGCATTAATATAATTTGGATTGCAACCACAAAATGCAATTAAAAGCTATGGAAATGTGCGGGAAGATACAAAGTCTACTAATAACGGTAAGTTGCAGGATGCATGTGATTTTACTAATTTAAAGGTCTTGAATTGATGAGCCCAAACAAGCAAGTTCAGATCAACTACCATAGATCTCAAGTTCTTGTAACTGTTAAATAATATTTGAATTTTTTGAAACCTTAGAAATTTGTAGCTTCTCAATTTGAATTTAAAATCACCGTTATATTTCAAATTTTGGATTTCAGTTTGTTTAATTTAATTGACAGATTAATTTAAATCAAAACCATTAATTTCAGATCAAAATGACATAATGTGATTTTTCAGTGGCATTAATATAATTTGGATTGCAACCACAAAATGTAATTAAAAGCTATGGAAATGTGCGGGAAGATACAAAGTCTACTAATAACGGTAAGTTGCAGGATGCATGTGATTTTACTAATTTAAAGGTCTTGAATTGATGAGCCCAAACAAGCAAGTTCAGATCAACTACCATAGATCTCAAGTTCTTGTAACTGTTAAATAATATTTGAATTTTTTGAAACCTTAGAAATTTGTAGCTTCTCAATTTGAATTTAAAATCACCGTTATATTTCAAATTTTGGATTTCAGTTTGTTTAATTTAATTGACAGATTAATTTAAATCAAAACCATTAATTTCAGATCAAAATGACATAATGTGATTTTTCAGTGGCATTAATATAATTTGGATTGCAACCACAAAATGCAATTAAAAGCTATGGAAATGTGCGGGAAGATACAAAGTCTACTAATAACGGTAAGTTGCAGGATGCATGTGATTTTACTAATTTAAAGGTCTTGAATTGATGAGCCCAAACAAGCAAGTTCAGATCAACTACCATAGATCTCAAGTTCTTGTAACTGTTAAATAATATTTGAATTTTTTGAAACCTTAGAAATTTGTAGCTTCTCAATTTGAATTTAAAATCACCGTTATATTTCAAATTTTGGATTTCAGTTTGTTTAATTTAATTGACAGATTAATTTAAATCAAAACCATTAATTTCAGATCAAAATGACATAATGTGATTTTTCAGTGGCATTAATATAATTTGGATTGCAACCACAAAATGCAATTAAAAGCTATGGAAATGTGTGGGAAGATACAAAGTCTACTAATAACGGTAAGTTGCAGGATGCATGTGATTTTACTAATTTAAAGGTCTTGAATTGATGAGCCTAAACAAGCAAGTTCAGATCAACTACCATAGATCTCAAGTTCTTGTAACTGTTAAATAATATTTGAATTTTTTGAAACCTTAGAAATTTGTAGCTTCTCAATTTGAATTTAAAATCACCGTTATATTTCAAATTTTGGATTTCAGTTTGTTTAATTTAATTGACAGATTAATTTAAATCAAAACCATTAATTTCAGATCAAAATGACATAATGTGATTTTTCAGTGGCATTAATATAATTTGGATTGCAACCACAAAATGCAATTAAAAGCTATGGAAATGTGCGGGAAGATACAAAGTCTACTAATAACGGTAAGTTGCAGGATGCATGTGATTTTACTAATTTAAAGGTCTTGAATTGATGAGCCTAAACAAGCAAGTTCAGATCAACTACCATAGATCTCAAGTTCTTGTAACTGTTAAATAATATTTGAATTTTTTGAAACCTTAGAAATTTGTAGCTTCTCAATTTGAATTTAAAATCACCGTTATATTTCAAATTTTGGATTTCAGTTTGTTTAATTTAATTGACAGATTAATTTAAATCAAAACCATTAATTTCAGATCAAAATGACATAATGTGATTTTTCAGTGGCATTAATATAATTTGGATTGCAACCACAAAATGCAATTAAAAGCTATGGAAATGTGCGGGAAGATACAAAGTCTACTAATAACGGTAAGTTGCAGGATGCATGTGATTTTACTAATTTAAAGGTCTTGAATTGATGAGCCTAAACAAGCAAGTTCAGATCAACTACCATAGATCTCAAGTTCTTGTAACTGTTAAATAATATTTGAATTTTTTGAAACCTTAGAAATTTGCTAATTTAAAGGTCTTGAATTGATGAGCCTAAACAAGCAAGTTCAGATCAAATACCATAGATCTCAAGTTCTTGTAACTGTTAAATAATATTTGAATTTTTTGAAACCTTAGAAATTTGTAGCTTCTCAATTTGAATTTAAAATCACCGTTATATTTCAAATTTTGGATTTCAGTTTGTTTAATTTAATTGACAGATTAATTTAAATCAAAACCATTAATTTCAGATCAAAATGACATAATGTGATTTTTCAGTGGCATTAATATAATTTGGATTGCAACCACAAAATGCAATTAAAAGCTATGGAAATGTGCGGGAAGATACAAAGTCTACTAATAACGGTAAGTTGCAGGATGCATGTGATTTTACTAATTTATAGGTCTTGAATTGATGAGCCTAAACAAGCAAGTTCAGATCAACTACCATAGATCTCAAGTTCTTGTAACTGTTAAATAATATTTGAATTTTTTGAAACCTTAGAAATTTGTAGCTTCTCAATTTGAATTTAAAATCACCGTTATATTTCAAATTTTGGATTTCAGTTTGTTTAATTTAATTGACAGATTAATTTAAATCAAAACCATTAATTTCAGATCAAAATGACATAATGTGATTTTTCAGTGGCATTAATATAATTTGGATTGCAACCACAAAATGCAATTAAAAGCTATGGAAATGTGCGGGAAGATACAAAGTCTACTAATAACGGTAAGTTGCAGGATGCATGTGATTTTACTAATTTAAAGGTCTTGAATTGATGAACCACAACAAGCAAGTTCAGATAAACTACCATAGATCTCAAGTTCTTGTAACTGTTAAATAATATTTGAATTTTTTGAAACCTTAGA